TAGAGGGGTTGATACAAATTTGTAAAACATATATTAATGTGTTATCTTTATTTGTCTCTTGAATAGTTTCAGATATTAAATTCTTATTAATTCCACTTAAAACCATTTGTTCTGAGCTGAAAACTTTAGAATGAGATATCCTTAATCCTGATCGCTTAATCTTGAGTATCCAATGTACACACTTTTGATTTTATTCTTAATCCTCTTTTTTTGTATATCCCTAATGTATAAAAGTTACGCTTGATAACAATTACAGAGACAATGCTATGTCAATTGAACTAATATCCGATTGAATTAAAGTCAGCTCTTCACAAGCCGGCTTTTAGAGCATTTGAGCAAATATAAATTTAATCATGTAAAAATGAACCTATTAAAAATATATTTTATCACATTTTAGGACTATCATCATATTAAACGAGTCTTAACAAACATTAATCCAAAACTTACATTTATTTAAGCGTTGTTTCGTTCAATTGATATGACACAATTACCCCAGAAAAAAACGGTTTTTGAAAAGTTTTCTAAAGTTTTCAGCTCAGGTATTTAAATATGAATGCATAAAATATTCTATTCCAAATATAAATATGTTAGAACTTTAGCTTTTAGTGTTATAAACACTCGACAGCTATTAGGCATCCTCGGAGAATAAATTTCATTTAATTGTTTAGAAGAATTCTAAAGAATTTTCTAGAGAATAGTTTTAGAGTAAAAATGTTTCACTTTCAGACATTAATGAAGTTCTATTTATCTGGATCAATTAGTTCATTTCAAACACGTCAATTAAGCTAGGTTTGGACAGTATTATACTGTTTTCAATCGTTTACTGGTAACGGTGGTTAAGTTCTTTAATGAGAGTTCTACTTTTATATTATGAATGATTTTAGAATGCCCAGTCCAAAAATAAGCTATGAAACTAGAATTGACCATGCATTTTTCTCAAATTTAAAATTCATTAACTTGTCAAATTTTACATTTGGCATTCAATATATGCAATATGCAAACTGAAAAAGTTGCGAAAAATAAAGGGGGTGAGGGAGGTTAGCTAACAATATCTTGTCCTACCTCCTCACATCTTCGTCTGATAATAATAATAACGATAATAATAATACTAATAGTAATAATAATAATGATAATAATAATAATAATTTAAAATTAAACTTTAGTATCTATTCTAATCGTTAATTGCAAATGTCGTTATCTTTAAATTTTTTTTTGTTTTTTAACTTTCTATTTCTAAAATAAGGGGAGACTTTACATAAGGAGACTGTTGTTGTAAATTTATCATTAATCATAAAAATCATAAAGAACGGCCATCATATTTCAAGACACATCCTGGGTTTTCTATCTTAAAAAGAGTTTAGTTTCAACAGGTTCATAAAAGAGAACTGAATCTTTTCAATCTTACTTTTCACTAGTTGCGATTTTTCTTTGAATATTAGATTTTTCCAGCTCTTTATTTTATTAGAGGGTCCCTTGAAATTACAATAACTGTCCTTTTAAATGTTCGTATTTATTTTATGTATTTTAGGAAGAGGTGGTTGGATTGCTGGCTGAAGCTATGATGACAAGACTGAACAAAACGAAAGGATTTCTTATTGATGGATTTCCAGCGGGATTAGAGCAGGTATAGGTTTAATAATATTAAATTTCCAGTAGGAGTAGAGCATTTAGGTTTAATAATATTGGATTTCCAGTAGGATTAGAGAAGGTAGATTTAATTATATTGGATTTCAAGTAGGAGTAGAGCAGGTAGGTTTAATTATATTGGATTTCCAGTAGGAGTAGAGCAGGTAGGTTTAATAATATTGGATTTCCAGTAGGAGTAGAGCAGGAAGGTTTAATCATATTGGATTTTAAGTAGTATTAGAGAAGGTAGATTTAATTATATTGGATTTCAAGTAGGAGTAGAGCAGGTAGGTTTAATTATATTGGATTTCCAGTAGGATTAGAGAAGGTAGATTTAATATTATTGCATTTCCAGTAGGAGTAGAGAAGAAAAGTTTAATATTATTGGATTTCTAGTAGGATTAGAGCAGGAAGGTTTAATAATATTGGATTTCTAGTAGGATTAGAGCAGGAAGGTTTAATAATATTGGATTTCTAGTAAGAGTAGAGCAGTTAGGTTAGACTTAATACTATTAGATTTTTAGTAGGTACAGAGCAGAAAAGTTTAATATTATTTGATTTATATTAGGAGTAGAGCAGGTTATATTAATATTATTGGATTTCCAGCAGGAGAGCAGGTAGGTTTAATAGTTATGGATTTCCAGTAGGAGTAGAGCAGGTGGGTTGAATATTTTTGGATTTCCAGTAGGTTTAGAGTAGGTAAGTTTAAGAATATTGGATTTCCAGTAGAAGGCGTTTTTCAGTCTTTTCAAATTGTTTGTTGATTTCTAGATTTTATTAACTAGGATATATCTAGTTTAATTTACTTAATAAATCATTATCTATATATATAAAGTTGTAATCTCTGATTGGTTGTCTGTTTGTTTGATTGTCCGATCATAACTCAGGAACCCCTGGACTGATTTGTCCCAAATTTTGATTCAGGAGCTCAGGAGAGCAACATGAACGTTCTTAGCGTTTTTAAGTTTTAATATTCTAAACGGCGTAAACGGCGGGAGTAACTTTGAGTAACCTGGGCAACGCTAGGTTCCCAAGCTAATTTATAAATATTCTTATTAAGGCGAAGATGTTTGAAGATAGAATCGGTTCTCCGACCAAAATTCTGGTATTTGAAGCTAATGAAGAAGTCCTCAAGTGTCGGCTAAAGGAACGCGGTAATTTTGACGACAAAGAGGAATCCATTTTGAAACGTATTCAGCTGTTTACAGAGAAGACAAAACCAGTTATTGATGCATACAGCAAGTCTCTAACCAAGGTAATTCCCAATAATTAAATTAATAAAAATTTCGTATTAAAAATTCTTCGAAAATTTAAACCAATAAATGACTAAACAGAGTTTTACTGGCATTTCCGATATGCTAAGGTACCCTTAAAAGCTTTGTCTGATCAAGAACTAAATAGATATGTTTTGCTTTTGAAAACTGTTTATTTTCATTCATAGGTTTTCTCATCTCTCTGCAAAAGTGGCTTGCGCATTATTTAGTTTTGAATCAATGGAAAAATTAACTGAATTAAACACAGAAAAACAACGTAATCTTCCAAATTATTAATCAGATTAAGGTTTAACGGGTACCGCTGTCAATCAGACATTCTCTCTTTGTTTAAAGGCTCACTTGAACATACGGTAACATTCCCTTGAACCAGGACAATTTACAAATAAATCTATTTTTCAGATAAACAGTGAGAGAAGTGTAGGAGATATATTTGCAGATGTTTGTAAAAATCTAGAATCTTAATGAAAACTAACGATTTTCATAAATAAAATGTAAGCAAAACATTTTTGTAAAATAAATATGTTAAAGTGAATCAATAAAATTATCATATTTTTTAAGTTAAATAATATATACTGATAAGCATTAGCTACAAGATTACTAACAAGTAAAGACGACGGCAGAGAATAATGAATATAAGGAAACAAACAGTATTAATTCCGTGCAGTCGTCACTGAAGTCTCATTATTTGTGGTTGACCCTGTATGTTGGATGTTTCAGCTGTTTAAACATCTTGCAAACATTTTATCGGATTTGACTTTAAAAGTTCAAAAGACATTAGGAAAAGGTCAAATTTATAAAAAAAAACTACTCTTAAGGTTGTTTGACCTCGGAGCTCCTCTAGTTTAAGATTTAAACCAAAATAGGAAAACAAACTTTTTGTTGTTTTAAGAACTCTTCAAAAATAGTATTTAAGATCGAAAATGTATGAAATTTTAATCATTTTAAATTTATTCGAATATAATGTGTCTTTTGACATGAACTATCTTTTAAGTTAAATAAAAGACAATGTTTAAGAAAAGTAAACAAGGTTCCCTAATGTCAAGTGTCTCTTATATTTTATTTATTAAAAACAACAAATATTGTTATTTTCGGGACCTATCACTTATTTGGGTAATTTCAGGGTAAACTAAACAGCCTATTCGCTCTTGATTGGTAATAGTCTTACTTTTCAAAGACAACTGTGGCCGGAGAAAAAGCTGATTTTTAGTTCAGAATTCGAGCGCAAAGGGACGGTCCCTCTCTATAGACACTAATTGATGTTTTTTTCAGTATGTTGTGAATCAAAATAAATTTCGAGTATAAAATTAAACTTTAGTATCTATTCTAATCGTTAATTGCAAATGTCGTTATCTTTAAATTTTTTTTTGTTTTTTAACTTTCTATTTCTAAAATAACACTATTTTATCGCATTCAAAATTGTATATTGCCTGTGTAAAAAGCTGAATTGAACGCGGCATGACAAATGAAAAGTTGTGCACATACGGGAACAAAATCTGCAAAATCTACGAACCAAAATACGAGAAATGATTAATTGATTATCGTAGAGACGTCGTCTTTGTATTCACATTTTACATGTTTTAATACGAAAAACGTAAATTTCTTGCTAACTCAAATATTTAAAAAGTTTTCATATTTTAGTACATAATAACGAACACATAATGACATTAAAATATAAAAAATTTAGATGTTATTGGGCTGCTGTTACTGAAAAAACATCAAATAGTGTCGAAAGAGAGGGACCGTTCCTTTGCGCTCGAATTCTGAACGAAAAATCGGCTTTTTTCCGGCCACAGTTGTCTTTGAAAAGTAAGACTATTACCAATCAACAGCGAATAGGCTGTTTAGTTTACCCTGAAATTACCAAATAAGTGATCGGTCCCTTTAAACATCCATTTCAGTAAAGATAGTGTTCAATATGTACAGTGATAACCAGAAAACTGTAGAATAAGAAGACGACATTAAAGCGATAATAAATAGTATTTGATGCGTTTAAAAAAACAAATAGTTTTTCTAATAAATTATAAAATCAGTTGTTTAGTCATTTGGGCCTTTTTACACCGCACACTTGTTATGTCTCATGTTCATTTAGAGTCATAAAAAGAGTCTGAAAGTGTTCTGGTTATCATTGTAGTATGCATCTATACTTTTTAAAATGTTCAGCTATATCATCCAACCATGGAAAAAACAAAGTTAATTTTTTCATAACCTTTTTTCAACTGCTTAACACCCAAAAGAAAAAAAGGTTCAGTATTAATATTTAGCCTTCTTGAACTGTTCAGCTAAACGCCACATGGGAAATGTAAAGTTCAATATATATATATATATATATCTATCCTTCATTGACATAAATATAAAGTTCAGCTAAACACCCCATGGGAAATAATGTTCAATATTTCAATTTATCCTTTTTGAACTGTTCAGCTAAACACTCCATAGGAAATATAAAGTTCAATATATACACATTTATCCTTATTGAACTGTTCAGCTAAACACTCCATAGGAAATATAAAGTTCAATATATACACATTTATCCTTATTGAACTGTTCANACATAATATTTACCAAACGGAAATATAAAGTTTAATATATACACATTTATCCTTATTGAACTGTTCAGTGAAACACCACTGCACATGGGACTGGGAGTGATACTGTTTAATATGAACATTCATCCAGACTGTTGAGCTAAACACCCATCAGATCATAAAGTTTAATGTTTATATTTATCCATCTTGAACTCGTCAGCAAAGTATTCCTTGAGAAAGATACTACTATTGGTCGGACTGAGACAGGTGAACCTGAGATCCTTCAGATTGATAGAGTTAAACGGCTCGACTGTGTTGGTAGGCTTACCTGGAATTCAAGATTAATCTTTATATGTACCATACAGTGTAACCAGCTTACAAGACGACATTATACCAATACTTACTTTCATGTTGTTTCAAAGCAAAAGGTTTTGCGAGACACTAATTTGTGAATATGCGTCTTTTTACACTGCACAATTGTCATCTAAAGACTGTATTGAAGGCACTTAATTGAAAGATCACATTAAATAATGCTGACAGTCCCTGTGAACAACTAAATTAAGTAATTTTGACCTGAGGCAGTATTGTTGTCGTCTTTACTTCTAAAGTAATTATCTACTGTCTCCTCCGAATGGTTATGTCTAAATAAATGATGATCAGCTGACTCAGTTTTGTTTAGCAAAGTAAATATAAAATACTCAAAACCTCAAAAAGTGTTCCTAATAAAACTTTAAAGAGCTTTTTTCCACAAATATTATTTTTTAGAAACAACTCTTTTATTTGTCAACCTTCTTTGTTACAAATAAAAACACCCCCTTGCGCAGATTCACTTAGGATGCATTAATAAGGATGCAATTAATTTGTGACCTACATATAAACATACATATATATACATATACACATACACATACATACATACACCCTTACATACATCGTAGCTTTATTTATTATGATCTACAATTATGTATAGAAAACTGCATTGCCTACTACAAGACATGCTATAGAAATTTTACTAAACGAACGATTTTTTGAACGAACTTTTTAAAAAACGATAGTTTTTCGATTAAAAGAACGATTTTTAACAAACTTTGAAAAAAAGATAGTTTTTTTACCGAAAAAACGATTTTTTTGAACGAACGAAATTACTGACCGAACGATTTTACTAAGCAAACTATTTTACTGAATCATCGTTCAGTGAAAAAATGAACGAAATATAGAAAATGAAAGAAATCATTTTTTTTAATATAAAAAGGGACGAAATGATGAACGAAAGAAATGAAAAGAAACGAACGCGCCTATCTCTATTCACCTTGAAGTATAAGCACATTAACCTGATAAGATGACATGTTGTAGATTTGTCTGTAAATGTTTCTATAACATCCAAATTAATTCGCAGCAAGCTGGCTAAACATATATATATTTATATTTACTAGTGTTTTTTTAGTTTGAATCCTAAATATATGAACCTATAGAGTCTAGACCCTTCCCGGTTGGGCTATTTTTGTCTGAAATAGGAGGGTGAGGGTTGGGAAGGGGGGGGGTCCTAAACCACCATTTGAAATTTTATATATTTGTTAGATTAATGAATATTTAATATATAATTTGATATGTTAAATGTCTACGAGATTAGTTTCCAAATATGTTTGGTTTCTTTTAATTTTTCTGCTTGGTAATTTGCCGGTGTATTTTTATTTTATCAAGAAAATTATACAAGTTTTATTTTTGTTTCAAGAAATTAAAATTGAGAGGAATGACTACGTGGTAGGCCATTTTATCAATACAAAGAAGACTACTTTTTTCTGTTAGTTTCGATTGTAAAAAACTTTTTTTCTAACTAAAAGTTTACAAATTATCTAAGAGAATCTTTTTTAATTGACATGTTTCTGTGTATATATAGTGTTTAACAGTTTGATACTAATCAAAATTGAAAGCGAAAGTCGTCTCCAATTTATTAACATAATCGCCTACCCCTGTAGAAAAATATGAATTTATTGAATAAGTTTTAGATGAAAATATATTATCCTATGAACTCCTTGGTCAGCTCTACTGTTTTTGTATCCAAAATACTGAATCCTGCAGACAGTGAAGAATTGCTAATATAATAATTAGTATATAAATTATTTACATTTAAAATTTCTATTTAACAAATACTCTAAATTCTAATATTTTCACCATTGAATTTGATATCTATTATAATATACAGTGATAACCAGAAAACTGTAGAATAGGAAGACGACATTTTAGCAATACTGAAGTGCATTTAATATTGTTACAAAGCAAATAGCTTTACTAGTAAGTTGATTAAATGTCGTCTCCCTATTCAACAGTTTTAAGTGTCTTACTGTACTTATTTTCGAACAAATTTTTCAAATGAAGACAAACGGTTTTGCTGAACGAACGATTTTTTACTGAATGATCGTTCAATGAGAAAACAACAGTATAGATGGAAAATGAACGATTATTTTAAAAACGAACGATATTTTTTCTTGAACAATTAAAAACGAACGAATGAACGATAGAAATGAAAATAAAAGTAAACCAAGCCCATCTCTAGACTAGAAAGTGTTCAAAAGGCATTTTGAATGGTTAAGGTCACATTTTGTTAAAAAAGGTAATTAAAGACTAACCATAAACTTACTAGACCCCCCCCCCTCTCAAAAAATTTATTTCGTTTTAATTTCAATCATGAAAATTTTTAATTCTTCTCTCCTGCAGACCCCAAGTGCCTGTTTATCAGATTCAGCTTCTTGTGGGCATCCGTGAGAAGTAAAACTCTAAAATATCACTAGGATAAAACAGGATTCATTACTGGATTCAGAACACCAGATAAACGATGATTTGATATTTAATAATACTATAATAATAATGATAATATCCTTGCTTGCCTTGTGTTATCTAGATAAAAATCTACTCCTGTTTCCTCCACTACTCTAGCCCGTCTTTCAGTCTCCTCTATGATCTATTACAAAAATTAGTCTTTTCTCAAAGAAAATTAGAGTTTTGCCACAATCTCAAAATTTGTAATCCCTATATTATTGCAATCTTATTTTTGAGAAGGATTAGATCGAATTATTAGAAAATCAGAGCTCGTGGCAAGAACTCAGTTTGTTTCACTCAAATTTATCGGTTTAATAATGTCAACCTTCAATTTTGTTTTTGACGTTGTTATTTCCTGAAACAAGTAAGAATGCGTTCATTTTAGATTTTAAATTTTGATTTTGAAGAAAGGTTAATGTAACGAGCACATTTTCATTATAGTATCTTAGAAAGTCAACGATCCATGAATCCTAAATAAAAAGTCTACAAACTTTCATGAAAGTTTTGCTTGCAATTCTTCAATTAAATTCAAATATCTTATCGTTCTTTCTCCTTAGCTGAAAAATAAGATTTCCAAGAAAATATCTTGTGGGAAACCTTTAAAAAAAAGGAAAAAGAGTTCCTCTATGAAAACGTCTAGTTGTAAATATAAAGACATATTGCAAGTGTAGTTTCAAGTGGTCCTCCTTGCAAAGATATGCATGGTCCGATTAAGGATGAATTATCAATCTTTATAATTCTGGAAAACTGTTAATTTTCAATAATGGTTTCTTTACAAAAGTGACTTGCGAATTTCTCTTGAAGGAAAACATCTTAGAATTATATTAATCAAACAAATTAAAAACTGGAAAAATAACAATATCCTCTACTTTATTCAAAATAAAAAGGTTTCTTAAAGGTACCGTTGTGAATCGGGCATTGCCACGTTTACATAGAGGGTCACTTGAAATTACGCTTACAGTCCCTTTAATTCACCTCAAATTCAGAATCTAGATCTTCTTGATCAACTGGAACAGCGTCTTCTAAACTAAAATTAACTATTTATAAAACTATTGGATCAATATTTTAATCAGTGTTATACATCTTTATTAATTTAATTACACAATATATTTGCTAGGTGTTGAGTGAAAGGTGTCGATTTGTGTACAAAAACTTATATATTACCACTGTTATTATCTAAAGGAATTGAGTCTTTGCAACAAACTAAAACTTTCCAATCCCTATATCTATCGAACCTGATGGTGTAAATCTTAAAGTTTTCAAACTTAGATTACAAGCTCTAGCAGAATTAATAGTTTGAAATATCAAAGGTCTACGACATTGAATGGCAAAGATATAGATGTTAGAAAATCAGAGTTTGTGGCAAAGACTCAATTCCTTTCAAAGTTTTAAAATTTAAAAAAGAATCCAGGTTGATTGTTTCAGAACTATTAAGATTGCTACCCCTAACCATGCCAACGCTATTTTAAACTATACTAGCTGAAGTTGCCCGTGGAATTTCAAAGATATCAAAAAAAAAATTACTCCTTGGTTAACGCACGGGATTCCTTAAAAAATGTCAGTCAATTTGGTTTCGCCATTTGGACAGCTAAAGCTAACCTATATATATATATATATATATATGAGAAAAGAGCTTTATTATATAGAAGACTAGCTGAAGATTTTTTTAGCCCATGTTAACCCCGGGGTATACCCCTGGGTTTCCTATACAAATTCAGCTAATTAGGTTCAGCCGTTGGACCCGCTATAGCTGACATATAAATATATATACATGAGCGAAGATCTTTGTTAGAAAGATTCTACCTAAGAGTCCTAGTTCTCCTGTTTGTTCCTGGTTCGCAATCCTTTAATTATAATAATAATTATATTATTTTAAAATTATTCCGATTAAGTTACAGATTGAGTTATAGGTTGAGTTGGAGATAGAGTCACAGATGTGTTACAGATTAAGTTAAAGATTCAGTTACAGATTAAGTTACATATTTTGTCAGACATTTAGTTATAGAATGAGTTACAGATGGAGTTAAAGATTAAGTAACAGAATGAGTTACATATTGAGATATGTATTGAGTTACAGATTGATATATACTTGATATATTAAACTACATATTTTTTTAAGATTGAGTTATAGAATGAGTTACAGATGGAGTTACAAATTAAGTAAGACCGAATGAGTTACAGATTGAGATATATGTTGAGTTACATATTTTTTTAAAGATTGAGTTATAGATTTAGTTATATATTGAGTTTAATATTTTGTCAAAGATTGAGTTATTTAATAAATTTAAGATTGTGTTTTAGATTACAAATTGATTTATGAATTGAGTCATATTATCATATATTGAGTTTCATATTTGTTAAAAATCTATTTACAGATTAAGTAATAGAATGAGTTGCAGATTTAGTTATAGATTTAGTTACAGATTAAGAAAAAGAATCAGTTACAGAATTGGTTACAGATTAAGTATAAGCGAGCTATAGGCTTAGTTGCAAATTAATATATGGATAAAGTTAAAGTTATTTTTGCGTAATTATGACTTTTACAATCTGTAACTAAATCTTAACCCGAACTGTAACTAAATATGTAGATCAAACTGTATCTTAATTAGCAATAATTCTGTAACTAAATCTGTAACATAATATTTACCAAACTCTGCAACCTAATCTGTAACTAAGTCTCTAACTCAGGTTTTTTTTTAATCCAATAAAGGCTGGGGGGTCTGAATCTATGTAAAGCCCCTTAGAAAAAGGTCTTAGAGAATAGGTATTGGGTTGAAATGCATGTTCATGGCCCAATTTTCAAGGCCAGCTCAAAGAAAGAAAATTAGACCGATATCTTTAATAGTGTGGGTGCTATGGAGGGTTGAAAAAAATGCCTAAAAAGGGGTAAAAAGAATGAGAAAAAAATATTTGTTTGTTTTATACAAATGTCAAAGTGTGACACATGTTTCTACATGCATTTTTCAAGGGCTTTTCAAAATTATAGTTTTTAGATCTGTAGCTTCTAGATTTTTTTTTCACAGACCGGACTTTTCTCCGCCCTGTACCCTACCCTGTAAATTTTAAAAGAATATTACTTTTCATTAAAAGACACAAAATTTCACGGTAATAGTGTTAAAATGAGAGTTCTAGGACAAAAAAAATACATGGGGGCACCAAACGCCCCCCCCCCTCCGCCTTTTTAGGGTTAACCTTCATTTCTTCATTGATATATTTCCTCATACTTGCAGCATCAGCTCCTTGTATTACCCAGATCAACTGCAACAAACAAACAAATTTTCATTCTTTCATAAAAAGCTGAGATTTGGACTTGAAACAATTTTCATTGAATCCCATTAATGTAAAAACTTATTTGTAAAGGTCCATGTCTATTATACACATATCAACTGCAGTTGATTACAAAAAAGCAAACAAAATCATAAAAAGATTCTAATTAAGTTCTTTACAGCCTATCCAGTTCCAATCCTTTTTAATTACTTGTTGAAGAAAAATGAATGCAAACAAAAAAAATATTTACTAAGTTGTTCCAATGAAACACATTAAAGAGCTAAAAAATAAAAAGTGACAGTTAATATTTCGGAAAATTTTTATTTTATACGATCTGAAGGTTTATTTTGAAAATTTTCATTCCTAAAATTAATTAATCAAAAAAGTATTCATTAGAAAACAAAATAAAGAAACATAATGAAATATCAACTACATATATTTTTTTTAAAAAAAGTTGTAAAATCTAAATGATTACTTTAAATTTAATTGAATTATTTACAATCTGAGTGAATTTTCTTGGGTGAAATACGTTTCTAACCATTTTCTCTTTATGCACAAACGCAACAGATAAAAGTAGGATTACTAGCGATCAATATCGAATTCGATTCGATATTAGGTCTATACCCCCTTCAATTTTTAGCAAAACACCCTTTATATCCTACTGAATTTGATCAGCTATCGTTGAAACAAAATTTGAATGAGAATATTTCGGTTCTTTTTAACAAGGCCCTGTTTACTGGGTGTCTCTAAAGTGTATTTTAACTTGAAGTTTTATCAGTCCCCAGGATTGAGTATATAGCTTAAAAAATACATATTAAGAATTCTTCCAAATTTATATTTTGTTGAATATTGAAAAATTCCTCATTTTCTTCTCTCTATCGGATTTTTCTTTTCTATTTTTATGATCAAAGTTAAAATATACATGAGCTCTGCCACCTTACCTCCCTTACTAGTATACATCTATAATTAGGTTTTCAAATATCTTATAGTTTCGGAAAATAACTTTTTTGCAAAATGTAAAGCCGTAATTTTACTAGTAAACCTATCCAGAGATCTATAAATATAATAATGTATTAATTTTATAAATCGAGTCAATTTTGTAGCGTCGCAAACAAGCGGAATTTGGTTTTACTTTACTAACTTACTTCTTCTTTCTTGTAGCCTGGCCTAGACATGTATCTTATAAATCTTGTTTCAAGCTTTAGTTTAAATGGATTTAGCGGATTTTTCTATGAAAACATTCCCACTTTGGATAACTGTGTTCCCGATTTACACGACATTCTTTTCTTTAATTAGAATTGAGGATCAATAAAATATTTGGTTTCCAGTTTTCTTCATTTCTGAATTTTACTTTTCAGGTAGGTTTAGTTTTGATTTAGGTTTAGTTCAGGTTTAGTTGAGGTTTATAGTTTATGTTTTAGTTCAGGTTTAGTTTTTGTTTAGGTTTAGTTCAGGTTTAGTTGAGGTTTATAGTTTATGTTTTAGTTCAGGTTAAGTTTTGATAAAGTTTTAGTTCAGGTTTAGTTGAGGTTTAGGTTTAGTTCAGGTTTAGTTGAGGTTTAGGTTTAGTTCAGGTTTAGTTCAGGTTTATAGGTTATGTTTTAGTTCAGATTTAGTTTTTGTTTAGTTTTAGTTCAGTTATGTTCAGGTTTAGGTTCAGTTCAAGTTTAGTTCAGGTTTATTTCAGGTTTAGTGTTTGTTTAGGTTTAGGTTTAATTCGGGTTTAGTTAAGGTTTAGATTAGGGTTAGTTTAGGTTTAGTTCAGATTTAGTTCAGGTTTAGTTAGGGTTTAGTTCAGGTTTAGGTTTAGTAATCTATATCTTACCTGCTGATCTCTATAGAAGAGAAAAACCGGTTTGCAACTGCGTTTGAATATATTCAACTGATAAAATATATATAAATATAAATAATTGTTTAATATTCGGTGATGGTTATGGACCAAACCTCTGTAGAGTAAAAAAGTAGATTTTCGTTCCACATATCTTGAAAATATATTTCGGTCTGGGTTGACCATCGTCAGTTTATGAGATTGTTTCTGTTTGTTGAGATTAAAAACAAATAATAATAATAAATAATTGTGTTCGCACAATAATTCTCTTAAAGCTTTACGATTTCTTTAAACCCCAATACAGGGCTAAATAAAAAAATCTAACAAAGATTAAATTGAACAGAAAATTCCTGCTATTCTTTAAAAATTAAATTTTTCCATTTATGTAAAACATAAACATGCAAAAAAACTATGATAATTTAACACGTATGCAAAATCAGTAACCAATAAATAAAGGTTTCTGATTAAAAATTTATTTTTCAAATTTTTAGAAAAATTAACTATGCACTTTTATGAAATAAATCATTCAGATATATATTTCCTAAAAGCTAAAATTGAATACAATTTTTTTGCGAATTCATTTCTGATTATAATTGATGTTACTCTCTGAAAGGGTTTTTAGTGAATTTAATTTTATCAAAAAGATCTGGATTTGAACGGGAGTAAATTTGAACGGGAGGTGAGGGGAAGGTGGCCAAACATTTGAATCAATTTGTTTTTAGATCAACGCTGTTGGGATTTCAAATATTAATTCTTTAGGCTTCTTCGATTTAAACTTAGAATTGTTGCTTTTAATTGTTTTAAGAGTGATTTTGAAAAATCAAAATTTTGGCACTTTTTATCAATTCTAAGCATCCATAAACCTTCCCTAGGATCATTTGACGTTACATGAGGTCCCACGCAAATTTGAATCCGATCTGTTTAGCAAAGCATATATGTAAGAGATGTTAGTTATTAAAATTTAATATTTAACCATAAATAGTGGGAATGCGTTAATTGTCCAGGTTTTTTGCCGTTTTGCTTTAAACAAATTTTAAATGGTTTACTTCTAAACATTAACAATAAAACGTTTTTGTTTAAAATAAAACATAGCACGCACCTCTGGCCCTTTAGATAAAGTAAATCCAACCTAAAGTCTGACAGCGTCAACCTTGTTGCACCACGGCTAGTCCTATTGAGTTTCTGCTTTATTTACCCAATGTCCGGGCGATACAGTACAAACTGGGACTGGAAAGGTTGACCCGGCTCGGAACTTTAAATGTACTACGGCTGTCCGTGATAGTATTACCTGCGGTATATCGTCACAGCAAGCGGTTGTATGATTAAACTCTCTTCCAAGTTTGACCTGGAAAATATAAAATCAAAGGAATTTTTTTTGCCACAAACTCAAATATTCTGATCCCAATATCTTTGCAACCTGATTATGCAAACCTTTGATATTCCAAACTTAGATTAATTTATCTAGACTTATTAATAGTTTGAAATAACTAAGGTCTATATACAACATCGGGTTACACAGATATAGTGATTAGAAAATCAGAGTTTGTGGCAAAAACTCAATTCCTTTACAATGAATTTTAGAGGAACAAATATGTTTCTTTTTTGAAAAGGACACTTTTTTCAAAACTTGGTAAAAAATAAAATATGGCGTTTAAAGAATATTTGTAATTTGAATCCAAACTGGATCCTATTTCATTTTATATGAACACTCCCTTGAAAATAAACGTCAAGAGAAGCTACACTTTAGATCTTTGACCTGTAATTTATATTATTAAAATATTAAATCTATCTATCTATCTATCTATCTATCTATCTATCTATCTATCTATCTATCTATCTATCTATCTAAAGATAGGTGGATTTATACAATATCTTGTTAATATCAAATTAACACTGCAGAACCAACACAATAAAAGTTATTATAAATTGTTATACATCATACAAATGTTTAATTTCTAACAAAACAGAGCATAGTAGTAAACTTATATTTGTATAATAGAAATAAATGTTCTTAATTATATTTAATTTCTTTAGATCTATGCTATAAAGAGACACAATTATTAGTTTAAAATTGAAAAAAATCACATCTTCTAATTTTCTAGAAGTAGTAATGATAGCGCTGCCTGAAAATATTCTCAGTTCTGAATGATTGAATTAGTGGGTTAATAAAGATACTGAAAAGTACCTGACATTGAACTCTAATCTTTTTAATAACAGAAGACATAGCTAGACAGGGTCCAGACCATTTGTTGTACACATCTATTATTATTAATCCATCCTGAAAAATACATGTGCATCTTATTTGAAGATCTTTAAATTCATTAATCCCCTTTATGAGTTTATTGTGTTCTTTATAATTCTTACTCACATGGTGAATTCTATTATTAACATGCCATACAAGTAATCATTGTGCACCTTAAGTTAAATTAGCTGTACATTATAGCAGGTGTGCTCTCAAGCTTTGATTGGTTCCTGGATTTACTTAAAAAAATTTAGAATATTTCTAAATTACTTTTTTTCAAAAGAAATAAAATTAAATTAAAATTAATTTTTTAATTCACATTTCTGCTTTGAAATTTTGGTCCAAAAACTTTAAAATACTACAAACTAAAATAATAGTTTTAGAAACAGTTATTAGGTTTTAAAAATAAGAAATTGAAAAAAAAGAATCACAAAATAAAAACAAACTTCACTTTATTTCAACTGTGTGCCAGAAGGCCAGGCTGGCATGCATAGAGAATAGAATATATATTAGAGGGGAATTTACTCGAAAAAAGTGTAAAACGGCCATTTTGTTGTACTGTTTCCATACTGCAGGTGTACTTCACATATTTGCGCTATATAACCTTTTGGGCCCTGAAACATCATTTTATAGAAAGTTTTCTTGAAAATTTTTTGATTTTCGCTAAATCAATTCTCTTATAGCCTGTCATGCACATGTGGATAAAAATCAATCTAATATTTTTTTTCATTAACCCTATTCCCGCTGGGGGGGGGTCAATTTGACCCCCCCTTGTAGTTTTTTTTACATAACTCAAAAAGTACTGGTCTGAGGCTGTTGAAATTTTCTGACTTTTCTTACATACCCAAAGCCCTCCCTTTAGGCCTAAAACCGGGCTTTAATACTAACTGCCTGAGTCCTCAGGCACACTGCCTGAATGACTGCTTTTGCCTATAGCAAACTAAATCTTTGTTTTGACCCACTTTCACTTGTCAGATTTTGATAAAATTTAGCTTTTTGGAAAGCCTATGACATAAGGAAACGGATTGCACAAGTTTTGCGAAAAAAAAATTGCAAATTTTTTGCAAACAACCTGTCAAAGGAAATTTGCACATTTTTAGTTTTTCTTGATTAAAAATCAGGTTATTTAAAATTTTGCAAAAATTTTTGCATATTTGAAATGGCATGGTCAAGGGCTTTTCAAAAATGTATAATTTGTCATTTTTTGGACAAATTTTTTTTTGCAAACATTTTTACTATAAAACTGGATTTTGCGATAAAAAATTCAATTTTCGCAAATTTGCAAATTTTTTTGCAGATTCTAAAAGTAGAGCACAAGAGCTTTCTAATGATGTATCATTTGTCATATTTGGACATAAAACATGGGATTTAGAGGGGGGGGGGTCAAATTGACCCCCCCCCAGCGTATCCTGGTTTTCAAGTACCCCAGCGGGGATAGGGTTAAAAAACATTCTTATCATTGAAGCCTGCAGGTAATCAAAGAGGGAAACCCAATATTTTAGAAATATTCAAGATATCAACATATGATCCAACTTTTTTTTCACCAAAATTGAGGATGGTCATAAACTTAATATTTTAATTCATTTTATACAGTTGGACCCATAAAACTCAGGAAGAGAAGGTCGAAATTTAAATATTATGTTTTTATTCACCTAATTCATTTTATAAAGTTTATTTAACAGCTTTAAAAAATTCGAAATTGATATAAAGAAGGGGTACACTTTGAACTCCCTTTCAGGCTGAAAGGGACTGAAAAAATTCATACCGAGGGATTGTCTTCATTCCCCTCTAATATATATTATATTCTCTATGCTAGCATGGTATTCTCAAGTGTAATAATCCCTTTAAATAATTACCTTCTTAATTGTAATTATCCCTTTAAATAATTACCTTCTGAAGTGTAATAGTCCCTTGAAATAATTACCTTCTTAATTGTAATAATCCCTTTAAATAATTACCTTCTTAAGTGTAATAATCCCTTTAAATAATTACCTTCTTAAGTATAATCCCTTTAAATAATTACCTTCTTAAGTGTATTAAACCACTCCTCTTCATTTGTAGGGGGAGCTAATCCCAAAGCTGCTCTTTTTTTAACCATATCTAATAGAGTTTGAAAACATAACAACATTTTTGCTTTAGACGTATTTTTTGCTGCCATTTTTGCTGGACGTTTCCGCAACAACAACTTTTTTACTACATTACTCATACTAATTTTTCCTACTTTATTATATCTCATTTTTGCCTTATGTCACCTTTTCTTTATCATTTTAGCAACAGGTGTCGGCAGTTATATCAATACAATAAAGACGACTTTCTATTAATAATGCTTCGATTCCGAACAAGCAAATTTTCAAATTACAAGTAAACAAAGAGAAGCTGTAAATTGACAACTTCTCTTAGTTTAAATGTTTCTATTCTGTTGTTATAAAGCTTAATAGAAATTAAAAATAAAATAGAAAGTCGTCTTCATTGTATTGATATATTGTATATGCCATTTTTTATATAGATGATTTTGCTATATGAACATTTTTGCTATTCTTAATTAATTTTGTTATTTAACTTCTACCTTGCTTCTTTTGTGATATAATGTGATTTTTTCATGTAGAAAAGTTAAAGTGTAAAAACGTCTCAGAGAAAAGGACGTATAGCGATAATTGTTAGAAAGAAAGAAAGAAAGAAAGAAAGAAAGAAAGAAAGAAAGAAAGATGAACGAAAGATGAACGAAATAACAAAATTTGTAAGAAAGAAACAAAGAAAAAAGAAAAAAGCAGGAATTAAAAAATCTAAGAAAGAAAAACAGATTGGCAAAAGATAGAGAAAAAAATGAAAGAAAGTAAAAAAAAAGAAATGGAAGAAAGAGAAAGAGTTAACGGAAGAAAAAGAGCATTGTAAATTTGTTTGTGGACTCTGGTAAAGATGCGTTCTGCATAGAAAATAAATTTTAAAAAATGTATAATTATTCCAAGAACTATAAAAATATGTTTAATTATTCCAAGAACTATAAAAATATGTATAATTATTCCAAGAACTAAAAAAATATGTTTAATTATTCCAAGAACTATAAAAATATGTTTAATTATTCCAAGAACTATAAAAATATGTTTAATTATTCCAAGAACTATAAAAATATGTTTAATTATTCCAAGAACTATAAAAATATGTTTAATTATTCCAAGAACTATAAAAATATGTTTAACTATTCCAAGAACTATAAAAATGCTGCCACTGGTTGAAAGTGAAGGTTAGCTGATCTTATATAAAGTTATATTAAATTATTATTAACCTGACTATGGGTTATGTTTGAAGTGTACGGACAAACTGAAGTTTGAAACTATGTTTGTTTTATGCTTCTTTATATATATAATTATACAACAATACAGATTCATTATCATTCGTCATGTTCCAATCATATATTTGATTGAGCAGTAGACAATTATAAATATCAGGTAATTTCAAGAAAACCTTCAAGTAAAGAGGGGCCGGACAAACCCGATTCACAACTGTACGCACAACTGTGCGCACTCTCACGCAAAAGTCAAGCAGTAATTTGCCAATTACTTCCTTAAACTAAAGCTAGAAACAAGCACATTGTGTCAGAAGATACACAAATGTATAAAGTAAGCACAGTAAGGTAAAAGAAAAGGCCAAAGCATCAGGGCACATTAAAGTCGAAGCAGTATAAACTTTGATGCATAACTTTCAGAGTTGTCTAGATGTCAGTGTACTTCTGAAACCTTGATTCACTCAAGAAGTGGATCAAAGCTTGATTCTGATAATTTCTTCATTGTTTTCTAAAGCGAAAAATTCGCAAATCACAATTAAAGCGAAACCACAATGAAAACAATTCGTTTATCAATACAAAATTATTAATATCAAACTTAAACTTGACAAATTACCGTTGTGAATTTGATATGCTACTCTATCAATGGAGGGTCAATTTTAACTAAAAAAATATCCCATGGGTTTCACCTTAAAATATGATAAACTGTTAGCAAGGTTTTATTTTTTTAAAGAAATGGCAAAGTATGGTAGTTGAACTGAGATTACAGTATTATTGATAATTTTTTTGGGGGATTAATTTGAGACCTATCAGATGTTTTTTTGTGCCTATTTGCTCAGTAAGAGCGAAAATTCAATATTCAAAATCCTCATTGATTGTCCATAATGGAGGGATGATTTTGAGAATCAGTTTCATTTAAATTATTCCATAACGACAAAGAAAAATGTAGCAAATTTTCTACAGTAAAATTAGATCTTTTCCATTAGAAAATTGTCAATAAATCACTGTTAGAATCAAATGTTTCATTTTTATCATTATTTTCTTATTCTGTTTGAATTTTTGGGAGATTTCTTCAAATTCTTCAAATGTCGCCTTTTCATTAAAAATGCCAGGAAATCTACAGAAAATAGGTTTAAAAGTTTAGACATTATAGAAACCAATAACTGAATAAGATTACTTATTTTCGATGAAAAAAGTTAATTTTTATATTCTCAACCTGTTCCTAAACAACTAATTAGTTAATTGTAGAATGTGTTGTTGCATTTTTCGTGGGCGTTATTGAATAATTCAATTAAAATCGATTCTCAATATCATCCCTCCAAAAAGGACAAGGAGGATTTTTAAGATTGAATTTGAACTCTTGATTAGCAAATATGCGTATGATTAGTCTCAAATGAATCCTAAAAATTCTCTATAATATAACAATCTCAGTTCAACTACCATACATTAATATTATTAATATTATTATATTATTATTATATATATTATTATATTATTATTAATATATTTGATTTAATCACAATTGTATGAGTGAAGCAAAGGGAATTAGGTTTCAACCTGATGGTATAAACCTTTCATTTTTCCAACTTTAAGTACAGTTAAACCCTAAAAGAACTTATCAAATGTCGTCTTGACAATTTTTTAAGGGGTTTTATACTATTTTATGTAAATCTCAGTATTTGCGAAAATAAATAAATAGCCATACATATGCCAGACCAGTTTTGAAGAGCTCCATAAAATACAACGATCATGTAAATGTATTACCACGTTATCATCGTACAACCTTTCTTGTAAAAATAATGTAAACAATTTTGTATCTTTAAAATAATCTCGATACGGAGATAATAAATATCTAGATTTAAAAAGTATTTAATATCACAGAATTTATAATTTAAATTATCAGAAGACTGAGTTCAACATCGGGGTGCAACGTTATAGGGATTAGGAAATCACATTTTCTGGCAAATACTGCAGTTCCTTTGTTTGGTTTCATGAACATTTTTTTATTTTACTAGCTTTTAATAAAGAGGAGTTATGGTTAAAAGATTTAAATCTATCAACAACGTGAAATTTACCACAATGGTAGGCGATTAAATCAATACAATGAAGTTAATTTTTTATTTAAGTTTTGATTATTAAAAAGCTTTTTTCGAATTACAAGTTTACAAGTAACCAACAAGAAGCCTTTTTAATTGACAGCTTCTCTTGACTTCTTTGTTTATGTGTATCAAAGCTTGATTTGAATCAAATTGATTTCTAAAGTCGTCTTCCTTGAATTGATAAAATCGCCTGTCACTTTATAATTTAAAGTGTTGTTAACAAATCTGCCTCGATCCTAAAGAGGTCCGTATTTTTATCCTTGTTCTGAAATTATGTTTTGACAAAATTATCTTCTTAAACTTTTGCCCTCAGATTTAATTCATAACAAAACTACATATATATTTATTAAGTTCAGACATATAAAGGTTTTAAAGGGAGCAATATTTATATTTCTTTATACTAGAAAATATAAAAAATGTAAAAAATCCTAAATTTATTATTGAATTATTAAATTTATTTATTCTAATGATTTTTTTTTCTTCTAAAACATTTTAACAAATTCATTTTTGAATTGGGTAGAGATCCTGACATATAATTAAGTTCGAAAGTTAATTTATAATTTTTTAAAGAGAATTCCCTTCTTTTCTGCCTTTATTTTGTTGTAACATGTAGAACAACAAAGCCTAGGAAGAAAAAAGTATAATTATATCTCGATATATTACAGTCCTATTCAGAAAGACCCGGAATTAATTTACAATTCATCAGACGACTTTACAATCTAATTTTACAAATATGATTGATGAAAAGAAAATCATGCCCTAGTCCTGCCAATTCCAAATTGGCCGATTTCTGATTACCTGTCGATTAATTCCAGGTCTTTCTGATTATGACTGTATAACATTAGCTCGTTTGGGATGTCCCTCAAGACGGATAAACCGATCAGGCCCAATTTTTTCGTGGAAACTATAAAATGACCCAAGAGGAGGCTTATGGTTGGTCAGAAATTTAAAAAATGTTCAAAAAGTTTGAAAATCGACATGAAAACTGGAAAATTTGTAAATATTTTGTCATGGTGTACGAAAAAAAAATTCGGTTTAATAACAGACAAGATCAATTTGTCAAGAAAGAGGGGCCCTAAAGCCATGAGTTGTGAGAATTTTTGCAAAGTTACGTCTAGGTTTTGTTAAAGAAAAGAACTAAACTTTTTCTTCCTTCCTAGTAAATGTAATCTGACTTGCGCAGAGAAACTTCAATCTAAAAATGGAGGAACTAAGGTTGTTAAACACAAATATTGGAAATAAATAATGTAGATTTATTTTTCAAAGGAATATGTAGAGCAAGCAGGAAGGAAATAAGCAAAGAATATATATTAGAATGGAATTTAGACAATCCCTCGTTTGAATTTTGTCAGTCCCTTTCAGCCTGTAAGAGAGTTCGAAGTGTACAATTCATCATTTGATTTATAGCTATAACGGAAAATCATCGTTTGTAAAGTGAAAGGCATAGAGTCTATGTGAAATGATTATTGGTCAATTATGAAACCAGCCTATTTCATAATTTGGTTTTCTTTTAATATTAATTTTAAAATATTTTATGACCATCCTGAATTTTGGTGTAAAAAAAAATAGAACATATTTTGATATCTTGAATATTTCTAAAATATTGGCTTTCCTTCTTTGATTACCTGCAGGCTACAATTACACTTATAGGAATGTGTTTTTTAATGAATAAAAAACATATTATATTGATTTCTATCCACGTTTGCATGACAGGCTATCAGAGAATTGAAGTACACCTTCAGTATGGAAACACACTCTAATATATATTCTATTCTCTTTGGATACAAGGCAGTAAAAGTAAGAAATATTCACATAACATTTTTGATACTATTTTCAGAGCTGGAAACTCTTGTATTGTGGATTTCCAGAGATCAATACTTCATAATTTCATAGATTAAGTTAAACTTCTTTTCTTAAATATGAACTGAATGGAAATTAAAATTCTTTGTAGTTTTTGGACCAAAGGAATTGATTTTTTGCCACAAACTCAAATATTTGAGTTTCTATATCTTCGCAACCTGTAGGTTTAAACTTTTAAAATTTCAAACTTAGATCATTTGTTGAAACAGAAATTAAAGTTTGAATTATCGAACGTCTTAAACATTGGGTTGCAAAGTTATAGTGATTTGAAAAATTGATTTTGTGACAATGACTCAACTCCTTCAGACCAACACACATTTTTTACTTTCCTTAAGATCCGAATCTTTTGGACCCCCAATATTAACCAAAATCTCTAAATGGTTCATCAGGGTTTAGCATAAAGAAAACAAAAAAAAACAGAATTTGAAAGTTCATCTTCTGTTTAAAAATCAATAAATATAAAGAAAATTTTCTTGACCTGGATCCGGATCCAGATCCGGATCCAAATCCATTTTTTCAGTGCAGACTACTTTCATCTGTGTTTATGATGTGTACTGGGTTTGGGATTAATTATAAAAATAGAATAAGTGAGAAACTGAAAAGACTTAATTACTCAGCAGATTAACTCTTATTGTATGTGTACTTTGTTTAGAGATATGGTCATAGCTTTTTTGAACGAACGAAAGTTTTGAGAATGAACGAAATTATTTGTGAAAAAGGATGTCATTCAGAAAAAAATGCACGATAAACAAATGAAATGGAACGTAAAGAGGAATGAAATAATTAGTGTTTTTAAATATTAACAAAAAACGAATGATTAAAAATCTTTAAAACGAATTTAAATTTTTTCTACTGAACAAACAAATTTACCAAATAACTTTGAAAAAACGATCGATTTTTACTAAACGAACAAAACTGGTCGTTCACGAACAATTTTTTACCAAACTTTTTAATGAACGATAGTTTTTCACCAAACAAATATTTTTTTACCATATTTTTACTGAAAGTACGAAATGGGTCGTTCACAAGCGATAAACGACCGAAATGAAAAAAATCTCTAAGTGATAAATGAGAAGTGCCCATCTCTAAGTGATAAATGTATTATTAACGACTTTGTCACAATCTTTAGATTTGAGGACAATGCCAACCTCGTTTGTAGGAAAGTGTTTTCTTTATTTTTCAGGGTGTGTCCCAATAAACATGTGAATTAAGTGACGACTTTTAAATCGTCTCGGTTATATAATCAAAATAGTATACATACTCAAAACAATAAGTAATTTATCCCTCTAATTACGATATTTCCAAATTGTGGTCTGAATCTGAGTTTTGAACAGGGTGTCCCAATAAACATGGGAATTCAGTGACGAATTCGATATCATCTTTTTAAATAATTCTTTGGTTTAGTATAGTGATACCAACTGAGAAAGCTCTAATCTGTAAGAGTTTCGTCTGCTATGTTGACATTTTGTTTGTTTATGTTTTGACTGCATACGGTTGTACTTAGTAAAACAAGAAAATTACAGTATACAAACAGAGTAAACTTGTCCGTTTTCACGTTCATCTTGCGGATACATTATAGACACATCTTTACAGTCTTTTACCCTTTTCATAAAATAAACTCTAGCAGACATAATAATATTATGGCTTTTGAAATGCAATGCTAATTCATAACAAAGACGATATCGAATTCGTCACTGAATTACCATGTTTTTTGGGACACCCTGTACCTTCAAAATGACTGAGATATCAAGAGTTTTGTCTCAGTTTATTTTTATTTTAAGGGACTGTAAGCTTAATTTCCAGTTACCCTCCCTTCAACCATGGCAATGTCCAATTAACTATGGTACCTTAGAATCTTTGACTTTTTATCGAGTATAGAGAACTCTTTGTTTAATTATCCTGAAAACCATTTTAATCTATCTAAATCTATCTATTTTAATCTATCTAAATCTATCTATTTTAATCTATCTAAATCTATCTATTTTAATCTATCTAAATCATTTTAATCTATCTAAATCTATCTATTTTAATCTATCTAAATCTATCTATTTTAATCTATCTAAATCTATCTATTTTAATCTATCTAAATCGCGGTGTACGCTGTGTATAGGTTCCCCTTAACACAGATGATTGGTTACTTTTGTACTATTGTTAAAACTTAAAACCAGCAATTGCAAACAAAGTGTTCAGAAATTAAACGCGTTTTTGTAAATTAATGAGAATTAATCTTAGAACATTGATCAGTAAAAGACTTCAAGGGTATCGTTGTGAACTGGGCATTGCCATTGTTGCATGGAGGGACACTTGAAACTAAGCTTACAGTTCCTTTAACATGCATAACCAAAAGTATCTAAATTTTAGAAATCATAGATTCATCCTAAAAATCGAAGACAATTTCAATATAATTCTTAATTTCCATGTTTACAGGGACACACCACGTACCTGTTACACCTAGAGGAAGGTAGTGTGTCCTTGCAGGTGAATTCACAATCAGGTTGATTAGAACATGGCTCATTTATCTACAGTGAGAACCCATAAAACTGTAGAATATGAAGACGACATTTAAACTCAAGTTATTATTTTAAAAAGTCCAATAAATGAAACTAATGTGACTACATTATGTAGTCACAGGCTGATTACACTTAATTAATTGATTTTAAAGCAACTAATAAGATTTATTGCTTTATAACACTATCAAATACATCACACGTGCCTATGGCTTAGATGTTGTCTTCCTTTTTACACTTTTATGTGTTTCACTAAATATCTAAACAATAGTAAAGCTATTCGCACATATACATTTTATATGTATAAATTAGCAATGGTTGACTGCAGTGACACACCGGTTAGGTTAAATTGGCAGACATTTTTTTAAGGGACCCATGGGTACCCTGAGGGTGAAATAGAATAAAAAAATTCAATTTTTTTCTTTTAAAATTCGTTATTTCTTAAGTGTTTTTGAAACTTCATGGGCAAAAATTAAAAAAACGAAATTTAATACCAGTCAAATTTATGCAATTACACACACAGACAGTAGACACCGTATTAAGATATGAACAATTTTGAAAAATCTTTTGAATGAATGTAAATTAAAATCCATCAAAATAACAATGTCTATAAATTTAATACAATATAATAAGGCAAACTTTTTTAAAGGTTTAAGGAGAGGTTTGTCCACTCATTAATACAAAGCAATAATTCTGTTAGATTTAACAGACAAACTTTGAAGTGCACAGACAAAACCGTTAATTTTGAAATCTATGATGCACAAAAATAAACATTTATAAAAATATAATAATGGATAATAATAAATAACAAACAACTGCATTATAAAATAACAGTGACTTTAGTTAACTTTTACGCTGAAACTAACAGAAAATAAAATCTATTTTCACATGTTTTGATGCTTTTGAATGTTTTTTTTTGGTAATATTTTACATTAATTTATATATGAAATAAGCATAGTAACAGTTTGAATATTATTAACCGTTAACATTGTTAATATAATTGAGATAATTAATAAGAAGTAACTTTAAGAGAAAACAAAAAGTTTTTTGACTCAAGGAAATGTTTAGTTCTGAGCTAAAAACAAATGGATTCCTGAAAAACTGTTCTGTTTGGTTATTTTAATAAACCTTAAATGTATAAAAAGAGTCAAAATGGTTAATATAGTGTAAATATTACTTATACCATACAAAAACTGTTTGTTTTTTACCTGGGGTTTGTTTTGGAAGGAGCAAAGTAGTGAATTATTTTCAGTAAGCGTTTGTCTACATTCAACCAGCCTTTGCCTAATCCCTAATCAAAATGGAATGGACAAAAGACAAGAAATATTTAGACACAAAATTAAAATCATGATAGAAAGGAAATTTACAATTGCCTCAAATTCTAAAATTTTAAAATATTTTTTTATCCTGATATTCTAAACCTGAAAATGGAAAAACAAACAAATTTGAAAACATTATATTTTCTTAATTTTTTTCAAAACTTCAATGAAATCTTCTAACATAATAAAGTAAAAATGGAAAATAAAATTTAGCACTTAATAGCTAAAACATGTGTTTGTCATAGTTTAGTTGCTTAAGCCAGAGGCTAAACCAATCAAAATATTCTAGGCAGATTATTTAGTTTACCTGGTCCACATGAAGAGGAGCAAGGGGACCATGGTCCAACCCACCAATACACACATGGACCTACATTGCAGGTACAGTCTCACATAAAAAGGTACATAGCAAGAATGCATGAAATGTCTTGAAATTTATTTTTAAGTTTATGACAGCTGTTATGCTTTATAATTGTTCTGTGCATAAAGGTAAATTTCAAGGATATTTCAAGGTAAATAAATAGCCTTGAAATATCCAGGACAGCACTTGATAGGCAGTTGCTCAAAGGAGTTAAGTTGAATTACAAGAAAGAGAGATTTATGGTATATTTCAGGGTTAGGTGAGGTTAAGACACTTACCGGCATGAGCACTGTGGATAGGACAGGCAAAGGGGCCAAGTGCCTCAATAAAGACAGGCTAAGGGGCCAAGTGCCATGGCTAGCACAGGCTAGGGGGTCATGTGCCACAGCCAGTACAGGTTAAGGGCCTAGAGCCGCAGCTAAAATAGGCTCGCTCCCTCTGTGTCTTGTTATTCAACAAGACATGTGCATAACTCCTTTGAGCTTCTGACTAATTAATATAAAATACTAGTTTTTCCGCAGAATTTGATTTTGAATGGGTTGAGTATAGGGCTCTTGCTACATATTCAAATATCCGGGATTCACTGTAGTTTAAACTTAAGTTAAATACCATATTCATAAAAATCACATAAAGTAGTAATCTCTGTTTGTCTGTGCCTATGAAACTCAGTAGAATCAAAGAAAATTTACTTTGACTGGCAATCTATATGATTTTTCAAACCAAGCTCAGAAAATTATTGTGGTTCTATTGAGGTCTGAGATCAATATTGTAAGCAAATCAGTCAAGTCATGAGTAATAACTGGACAGACAAACAATCTTGTTCAATCAAATAAAGTTATAAACAAAATCTGAGTAAGTCTTTATTAAGACAATAGTAAAAGTTACCTTCATTACAAATAGTTTCTGTTGCAGGTTTAGAATTAGGATCACACTGATCATCACAAACAACATCTCTTATCTTCAGAAATTACAATGTTAATCCAGAAAATGTAGTGAATATTGAATTCCAATGTCAAATAAAATTTCTTTTAATGATACTTATTTCGATCAAATTGATTTTCTTTTATGAATACTAATATCATCCAATTGAGTTTCTTCAATAATACTAATTTAATCAAATTGATTTTCCTTCAATACTTATAATTTCAATCAAATTGATTTCTTTCAAAAATACTAATTTCAATCAAATAATAGCTTATAATTTTTTTCTTCATTTGAACTTTGAATGAAAAGGTCATATTGGATTCTAAATAAAACATTGAAAATTATACAGAAAAGTATATGTAAAAAACAAGTAGTTTAAGAACTAATTTTTTCATTATTAATTAAGTTTTTAAAGCTTTCTCAAGAAACTGTTTTTTCTCCTAATAAACTAGTTTTGAAACTTAATGTTGCAGGACTTTTATATTTCCAATTGTGAACTCTGATAGATCTAGCAAAAGTTTAAGATATCAAAGCTTTTCATCAGATCGCATAGATGTAGATTTTGTTTCAAAATTAAGAAAGTACATGTATAATGTATACCATTGTTCCATTGCCACACAAATGAGAACACTTTGACCAGTTCCCAACCCTCCAGTCACCACAATGACCCAGATTGCAGGAAGCTAAAACCTCAATTGCTAATCTGGAATTACAAGCAATCCCTTCACAGTTAATCTGACTGAATTGAAAAAAGATTAGAGATTGAAACTAATTCCTTTTTCTTGATATTTACCGTTTCTTAATTCCATTTTCACAGTCCAATGAACAATTTGACCAAGCAGTCATCGATACATTTTTAAGATCTAGTTCAAAATCCAAGCTTGGTATTTGTAGATCAGAATCCCTTGCCATGTTCTTATTTGTTTCATCTGATCCTAACATTCAATGACAATAGTTTTAAATTTTCAGTAATCTGTATTTTCTACCTGGGAAATTCTGAGATTGTATCCTGCAACTTTCAGAAAGACTGCAATGTTCTGTTGAAATTGGTCTAATAAGACAAGTTTAAGTTTAAAAGTGTATGTGTTCCGCCAAATAGAATTTCATTAAATAACAACAGAAAGAGGATATTTTTAAGGTCGTTCTTTTACAAAAAATTCAAGTTTAACTCTTGAGCCAGAGTGAAGATTTTGCCAAGTGTAAAAATGAAACTAAGCCAAAAATATTAAGTGTTGAAAAACAGAAAAAAAAACTATACAAAACTGTAATTATGATGAGGCAATGTAAAAAGAAACCTGCTGAGCAGAGGGCATCTTTTGTCCGGAAGAGCTTCCATATTTTCTCCAATACACATGACACTTCTTTCATGGTAACTGTTACATGAATTGCATGACTAAAATTAGCAAATGTTCAATACTACACAATAACCAAAAATTGATAAATTTATATAAAAATTAAATTGATTTTGTGCCTCAAGAACATAAATGTAAGATTACAACATAAAAAAGTCAGACCTAGTGAGGGCATCATATCATATTAGATCAGTTTTTACATTTTTGTGTTTTTGAATAACAAGAGTCACCACAAAAATACCATGATTCAGAAAAATAAATCATTTTTCTCTTTAAAAAAATGGGTTCGCAATTAAAATAAATTATTTTTCTCTTTAAAAAATATATTTGTTCGCAAATACTTTAGTTCACCCATTTTGCTTAATGTGATTTAAAGAATTTAAAAAATACAAATTCAAAATATTCAAATAAGTTTCCTGGGAATATTGTGGAGCATTGTGACAGCCATTTTTTGTTATTTACATTCTTTAAGGATGCTTAACATTTGCTGGACCATTGACTGTAGTTAGATAAACAAAGTACCTGCCAGGGCCCCTCCCACCAGTATTTCTTACACTCAGGGACCGAGCAGTTCTCTAGCTTTATGCCTGGAACTGGTTCTATGCAAAGTACCTGCCAGGGCCCCTCCCACCAGTATTCCTTACACTCAGGGACCGAGCAGTTCTCTAGCTTTATGCCTGGAACTGGTTCTATGCAAAGTACCTGCCAGGGCCCCTCCCACCAGTATTCCTTACACTCAGGAACCGAGCAGTTCTCTAGCTTTATGCCTGGAACTGGTTCTATGCAAAGTTTGGAATCAACAGGTCCTGAGCATAACACATGAATTTTATATCCATAGAGAAAAAATGTGATGGGGCGGGGCACATGCTTTTGTGTATGCATGAAAATTAAAATATAAACAAATGCTTGTGAGGTGGTTTGCCTACAGCAGCAGCATTTTTAAAGAGCTACTTTTATTGTTCTTTACCATTCCATGCAAAAATGTTTCTTTAAAGTGTAAAAAAACATCCTGCAGCAAATTGTTTCCAGATGTAAACAATATCAATTTAGGTGTATGAGATTTGTAGTGTTTTATTTAATGCTCACCTAAGCATGCCAAAAAAGAAATTGGTGCACCCCCTAGGTGATTCCCCCCCCCCTAAAAGCCCCTATTTTGAAAAAAATACTGATTAGGTTTTATCTATAATAAAGAACCTTATATCATTTAAACTTAGGCTTTGCGTAGTGTAGAACATATATTTGTTTAGCAGGGGTCCATACTTCATGAAAACTCTTTCTCCCTCTCAAAAATAATTTCTCCCCCCAGATAGGGATGTTAAGGTTTTTATTTTTATGAAAAATAATTGTTTTGTTCTGAAAACGAGGACAATAAAATTATCCTTTTTAAAAAGTTAGCTTTTTAAAAACAGTCATTTTCAAAATAATTGTTTTTACAAATAATCGTTTTTAAAAACAACTGTTTTTCAAATTTTTTATACGGCTTACTGTTTCATTAATGATCGTTAAGGATGTCCCTTAGTTAATCATCGTTAACAATGACCCTTTGTCAAATGTTAAATTTTTTATTTTATTATTCCACATATCATATACAATTATTCCTTAGATGAGGCCCCCTTTAGCTGCCCCCTAGGTGGACACATGTACTCAGTACCCCTCCCCCCCCCTTGTACACCCCTGAATATCAAGACATCCTTTGGCACATTCCACATAGGTTCATATGTCTATGGTCCTGATGCAGATTGGCATGTTGGAGTTGAGATTTTGACACTAATCCCACAAGTTGCTGAACATTTAGACCAAGTAGAAAATCTCCATTTAAATTTGGATCTCAAGGTCTAATTAAGGATTTAGAGCTAGAAGCACTGAATGCCTAATCTTAAGTGACCTCTAATTATAGAGCTGTATATCCAATTGATAACAGCACACTTACTAAAAAAAGGTTATTTTCAATTTTGATTTTTCTTCTAAAGTGATTTTTTTCAACAGACACAATTGAGATACTATTTAGATTTGTATATGCAATTCTGTAAATGTAAAGTTTCTTTAAATTACAACTTTTGATAACAAAAAAAACACATATTGGATACAAATTGTCTTTTGAAACAGTAATTCCTTAACCTTCTCTTCAGAGGCAACATAGTATGTCCAAGAAATGTTTGACACTGAATCTCTTTGTAGAAGATATAAACTGAATCCTTCTTGAATAACCCTGGCCACAATATTGGTTTAAAATCTAAGATTTAATGGTGTTACTCTCTAATCTAATATTAATTCATACATAGGGCTGGGCATGTTCCTGTTTTTTTTTAAATTGTTCATTCCTCGTTCTAGAATTAGGGCCTTCTGCTAAAACTTTCATGTCTTGTTCATTCTTATTCTAATAATTTCATCGTTTCGTTCTTTGTGTTCTTGATCTAGAATGGTTCCAAACACAGTTCCAAGGAACAGGTTGTGATTTGTATGGACTGAGTGGGGAATAGGTTGGGTAATGGGAGGTAATACTGCAATTGGCCAACCCCACCAAACTGACAGAATTTACAATTATACAGATATATTAAAACTCTATTATTTTCATCCATTTCTATTATTTCTAGATGATTAAGAATGCATTCAACCAATTACTGTTTGTTCCATGTTTATACTTTTATAGATTGTTCCAATATTTTCAAGAATATGTTCTATGTGTTTGTTCTTTTTTCAGAACATCATTTTTGATAATTTGGTTTAATCCAGTGAGAGAATGATAGTTCCCTCAAAATGATGCCCAGCCCTATTCATATTTGAAAAAAAATTTTATTCATCCTTAAATATTTGATAGGTTCTGGCTTTAAAAGGATTTTCAAGAATCTGGGAAATTATTCAAATCTCAAATAGTAAGTTTCTTATATCTTTAATATGCCAAAAAAAGTTTTAATGGGTTAAATAAAAACTTAGGCAATAAACTTCTATATGTATTTTTTTATGAATATCAGAAATTGATTTTAATTCAAAAAAAAATATTTCTTTATATTTTTCAAAAAGAAGTATGTTCAAAATGGAAAAAGTTTCTCCAAAGTTGGCAAAAACAAAAATTGGAAAATAAATTAGTTTGCACTTCTTACACAACTTCTTTCCAAAGAGTTTACTTTAGATCAAAATAATGCAGTTCCTAGCAGTTATGGTCTCTAATTGTCCATGTTTAAACTGGGTCCTGGTATAAGTAAACCTAGTTTCTCCTAAACTATATTCTCCTGGCTGTTTCACAATCATATCCCAGTTCAACAATTTTTTTCCAAAGTCTACAAATATTATAAGGAAAAATGAAAGCATTACAAAAGCAACATTTTTCTATGTTCTCAATGGATTTTGTTATACTTAAAGAACTGTACTTGAATATCAAGAAGCAATTTGTGCAAATATTGCAATGCAGGATATTTTTGATAATTCCTATAACTTTTTAAGCAAAAGAAATGTGCAGGTCACAAACCAGAGTTGAAAATAATCAGTTTTTTTAAATTATAAACATTGATACTTAACACATACTGGACAAGACAAATTTGTTAATGGTACTTTTGTGATTCAGGTGTTTACCTTTTTAAGCATGGAGGGTCATTATTGTTTACAGCCACTTTAAATAATCTTCTGGTATTGTCCAAATGAATTTGACAGTTTTTAAAACTTTCCTAACTACATTTGAACAGGCAGGGATACAATCCAAAAAAAGTAAATATAAAGAGCAGACAACTGATATATTAATATTGCACTGTATGTCAGGAATGTGGAAATCTAGTTTTTAGATATTGGAAATTATGTTTTTCCGAATGTTATTTATGGACTTTATAATCTTTTACTTGTCGAATTTATCACAAGCATGTGTTTTTCAACGTGACTATGTTGTCACTAAGAGTTTATGATTTAAAGAAAAAGAAATCCAAGAAATCTCCTTGTTAACACATTACATAGAATTAAAATTGGAAGAATTATCAGTTTGTAAAATTGCAGTTTTAGTTGACAAAATCTGTTTTATTTGTAATGAAAAAGTTTGCAACAAAGTGACAACATCAAAATTGACGTTTCATTTTTTATTTTCAAAAATATTTCATTTTCCTCCCTGACTTTATAGCAAGCAAATTTTCCTTGCTTCCGAAGTGTTGTACTTTCAGAGTTCCACTTATGGGTATCCGAACTATCATTTGATATCTTTGATTGTAATAATCTGAATGTAATGTTGACAGGTTGCTCTGAAGTAAGTTTCCTTGAACTATTTGACAAGATGAATTATTCCCTCCGCATATACCACACAGATCCTCAGTCAAGTTAGAATACAATTTCTTCTCACATCCAATCTGAAAAAGTAGTTTATTGAAAACTTTTTATCCAGAAAATGGTTAAAAGTCCCAATATCCACTTCAAAACTACAAAGTTTGATTTCCAAATAAAAAAGTTTTTTTTTAAAAAGTTTCTTTGCATTCTGATATTAGAAATTAAACCTTTAAATAGGAGAAATTGATAAAATATAATTTTTTTTCTTCATAATTTCCAATTGTAGTTTTCTGTAAAAGTGACTGACAAATTTTATGCAGCACAATTAAACAACCATATTTAACCCTAACAGGCTGGGGGGGGGGGCATTCAAACACCACCCACCCTCTTTTTTTTGTGCTATCACTCTCATTTTTGACACTATCAATGTGAAATTTTGTGACTTTTAAAGAATAGAAATTTTTTATGTAAAACTTTTTTTAACACCCTTTAAAAGCTATATTTTCTAAAAGCCCTGGAAAACATGTGGAAACATGTGTCACACTTTGATATTTGTTTTAAAAAAATATATTTTTAACATTTTTTTGAATTTTTTTCAACCCTCCATAGCATGGTAGCGCCCAAACCATTAAAGTGATTGGTAAAAATTTTTTTTCAATGAGCTGGCCTTGCAAAAATTGGGCTATGTATATAAATTTCAACCCTATACCTATTCTTAAGGCCTTTTCTAGACTATACATAGATTCAGAACCCCCCCCCCCCAATTTTATAGGGTTAAATAATTTAAACCTTTTAAACATAGAAATAACTACAATATCTTACCCATTGCTGCTTTGATAAATGTTCAAAGGTTACCATTGTTACTAGGACAAGCCACTCTTTAAACGGATGTTACTTAATTATGTTTAAAGATATTTTAAACAATTCAATGCAAACCTTAATACATCTTCCTTGAATACATATTCCTCTCTCATCCTCTATTAAACAGTCTATTCCATCAACTTCTGTATGTTCTTCAAATATATCTTCACCATTTTTAACTAATGATTAAGCTCCCTTAGCTCTTAGTTACATATTTTACTGCGCTTCTAAGGACTGTTTTTTTTTAGTTATTTTGTTATAGAGGTACTGGCTAGGTAATGTAACTAAACAGACTGCAGTATTATAGAAACACATAATTGCTGAATAAAAGCATGTTTGTCAAATATCACCAGACGGGATAAGTTAAAAGGTGTTCTTAGAAGAATCCTATAATGTTTCTGTGTAATACTGCAGTCTAAATTCAACTATGTTACCTAGCCAGTCTCTCCCTTTAAAAGAAATGATTTCCTGCTAACGTTAGATCCTTCTTTTCAATCAGAAAGTTCTTTAGCAACCATTTTTGTAAATTATTGCCAGTTGTTAAGTTTACGAAAATTTGTTTACTTTCCAAACCAAAAAGATTTTCCTTGAATGGAAACTTCCTAAAATATTTTTAATATGTTTAGATATTGGGAGTTTTCCTCTTTTACAGATTACAGAGCATAATCTAAACAGGAGAATTTTATTAATATTTTAATATTTATTACTGATTGGACTAATTTTTTAAATATCAAAAATGCACAAATGAATGGTATTCATAGATTTAAAAAATATACTTCTCTAATGATCCACATGTGTTTTTTTATTCATTAATTTTTTTCAACAAGTTTTAATTTCTTAAATCATATTCTTTAATAAATTGAAGTAAAATTTTTTGCTGGTGCTTAAAGGATTTTAACAAAATAGTTTACGAGGTTGGCCACAACATTTTCTCTTCCGAGCCACATTTTCCCCTTTTCTCGTCCAAGCCACATTTAAATAAGTGTCCTTCCAATATAATTTAAAAAAAAACTATTTCTTAAAAATTTTATAACATCAGAACAATATTGAAATATGGAATTTTGTAAATAAAAAAAAAATTGTTTTAATTGAAGTCAAGTTTTCAAGCTTGTTGTGACTAGCCTTTCCCCCCTCATATTACAATTAAAGTAAGGGCCGAGTTTTTAGAGGTTCTATAAGTATCAAGTGAAAAGAAATAAGAAAAGTCAGAATATTTCATTTAGATATTTTTTTAATTCTCCCTCATATCAGATGAGTTGATGGCAGTGTGATCTTGAACAGTTCGTTTACAGTATTCATCTCTTATACTTCTGCAGTTATTAAATCATCTACGTACTCTGGATTGTACAAACCTCCTTAATCAATTAGATTTTAAAACCTAATGATAAACACAAAAACCATTCATTTTTAAATTTTGTTTACAAACAGAAGAAACATTAGTCCAAACCGATTTCTGAAAATGTTGGAAATTCTGTCAATAATCAACATACAGAAATGATCATTGATTGTTTTAGCATATTAACTAAAGTGAACAGTTTTCTCAATTAATTTATTAATTAAGGGTATAGTAAATGTATTTCGCTGTATATAGAAATAATCAATTGTTAAATCCTAAATTTTAAAAATAATATAATTCTCTGACATGCTTTTTCTTAATTTTCAAATTTGTATTCTTATTTTTATTAAAACTATTTTCTAAATTTTATAGATATAACTGAATTCCTGAAACTAACTCCAATAATCAATTGTAAAAACTTGAAAGCTAAGCCATTTAATTCTTTGACAATTAAAAGCTTCTCTCTGTGTCCATGTTTATTTTTGTATTCATGCTGTTTGAAAGCTTGGTTGACATCAAAAATTGAAATTGAAAGTCATCTTCATTGTATTGATTTAAATGACAACGACCGTATTTGTAAAATTGTTCTTATTTTATAGAAAAACTATTAATTGTGGCTCTATCTATGAGCATCTTCTCTTTGTACAAAATAAAATAGTGATCAAAAATAAGGTTCGCAGATTTAATAATATTTGTGCATGCATTTTTAAAAATTTACAAAAATTCAAAACTTTTGGACACAAATTATTGTTATTTTGAGCATCAATAATCATTCCATAGAGAAATGTGAGGTACCACACAAAATTTGTTCCTGATCGGTTCAGCCGTGTTGACGTTAATTGGATACAAACGGACAGACAACAGCCAAGCAAAGTATATAAATAGATAACTGAATTCCTGAAAGTGGAGCACGGGGCTAGCTCACAAACTTGAAAACGTTGTTGGTTACCAGAGCAGTACTTTCCCCCAAATCTCGGAGTTGGAGAATCACATGCTCTTATGTATGGTTTATTTCATATTAAAATCAAAATAAAATAATGAAGTTGTAAGAATTTCAAAAATCACATGTTCTGTTAAATTGAAAAATTTTAAGTATCATATTTTCCATTTCTTAAAATTTTTAGCAGCATTGAAAAATTAGTCGTAATTTCATTATAATATTTACTCACATCATTGTGTTATTTTAATTAAAGTAAAACAAAACTTGTTTATTTCTGATAATTTCTCCATTGCTTCTTATAAGAAATAAATTCAAATGTCACTTTCCCAGAGAAACTGCTAAAAGAAATAAACACTTTAAAATACCAAAACATTAATATCTAATTTATACATGATCAGACAGAGCTTTCAAGGGTATCTTTGTAAATCAGTATTGCTATCTTTGCATGGAGGGTCACTTGAAATTAAGCTCACAATCCCTTTGAAACATTATCAATGTGTGAAAAGACTGCTGGAAGATGAAGATTATGAAATTGAGCACCTTGAGGATTTAGCAATACCAACTCCACAAGATTCTGAGCAAGCCGACCATGGAGACCATTCTCCCCATCCTCCTTCTTCCACTCGCTCAGCTTTCATCAACTCACAGTTACCATTGATACACCTAATCAGAACATTGTTACAACATGATTCTTAAGAGCTAGATATAACAATATGTGAAGGAATCAATGTCCGTCAGAAATCATCGGAAATCCGCAAATCTTTTCTTTCTTGATAAAGTGACTTATTTTGCAAACAGCAATTAAAAATAACCATATTTTAAGTAGACTAATAAATCATTGTATACAGAAAAAAATTGTTGAACATTTTTTAAAAAGTGACTATTACATTATTTAATTTTTCGACAGTATTGAAACAGTGTTGAAGTAAACATAAATAAATAAATAAAATAAATATTTTATTAGGCACATAATTATACATTTACAAGGGTTAAAAACACATTGATGAATTCTATGATTATTACAGTGCCGGGAAACCCGGAGAGCTCAATATCTGGCTGTCTGGTCCAGGTCCCTGAAAACTTTAGATTTATGCGGCGTATGATACGATGAAAGTTAAAAAAATGAAGGAGAGGTGAATATTTCTGTTAGGGTTCTGAGTAGGTCCGATCATGAGAGCCCAAGTAGACCTGGAGAATAGACAACAAAGCAATATATTATAAGAAGGTATTGTACTTAGACCCTGGGTACAAGCAAACTAAACAGTGCATAAATAACAGTTACAATCTATGCTATAGCTTTCATCAAGTTTGTGTAGAAAATAAGATTTTAAATTACTGGAAAACGTTGAGCTCTTAACAATGCTATTTTTAAACACTGGTTTAAATTTATTCCATAAATTCGGAAAATAAAAAAGAGGATGTGATTTTAAATACTGGTACTTTAATCGTGGAATTGCAAAGTCTTCGCCATTTCTTAGCATATATTGGGGGTCTGTATCCCTGTTCAAGCTCCATGAGTTATTAAATGATGATGGCAGACGATTTAACCTATATTCGTACATAAAACAAAGGGCATTTACTTGTATTAGATCTTGGAAAGGGACTATGGCAGTTTTTAAAAAAAGTGGGGCAGTGTGAGAATTATAACTCTTATTGCAGACTAGACGTACAGATTTTTTTTGTAGGGTCTGAACTCTAATAAGATCCTTTTTAGAAAGAAGAGAAAAGATGTTGCTGCAATAATTAAGATGGGAGTGAATGTGCGCAAAATAAATAAGCTTAAGACAACTCATATCAACTGCAACTTTTAAAGCAAAAAGATAACACCTAAATTGCCCATAAGATTTAACATATGCAAGCAAATAGTATAAATACAGATACAATGTGACTTTAGCATTGGAAAACAGAATCATGCACAACTGTCTGCTGGGTTTGTAATATTTTTTTAAAAACAAGCATTTAAAAAAGCAAGTGCAGTAAAATGCAATCAAAACCAAACAAACCATTCTAACCTCTAGCAGTTTACGGATTACGGCTTTTCTATCTGTAGGTATCACCAATCATGCAACAAAGATTATCTCGAAGTTGTTACTTAATTCCCATGTTTATTTGGACATCCTGTACATATGATGAATATATTTACTGACCATCTATGAGGTGCACAAAGAGAGCCAGGGGCAGGAGGACCAGGAGTAGGTAAACATACTCCTTCAACCTCACACCATAGTCGAGTACATGTACTCAGATCAGCGCATACACTAAACATAGCCGGGTACATGTACTCAGATCAGCACATACACTAAACATAGTCGGGTTCATGTACTCAGGTCAGCGCATACACTAAACATAGTCGGGTTCATGAACTCAGATCAGCGCATACACTAAACATAATCGGGTACATGTACTAAGGTCAGTAATTTAGTAAATACACTAAACATAGTCGGGTACATGTACTCAGATCAGCACATACACTAAACATAGTCGGATTCATGTACTCAGGTCAGTAAATACACTAAACATAGTCAGGTACATGTACTAAGATCAGCGCATACACTAAACATAGTCGGGTACATGTACTCAGGTCAGTAAATACACTAAACATAGTCATGTACACGTTCTCAGATCAGTAAATAAACTAAAATTAGTTGAAAGTATGTACTTAGATCAGTTAATATACTAAATATAGTTAAATACATGTATTCAGATCAGTAAATACTCTAAACATAGTCGGGTAAATGTACTTTTATCAATACATACAATAAAAATAGTTGAATACATCTGCTCAGATCAGCACATACAATAAACATTGCCGGGTAAATGTACTCATATCAGTACATACATACACTAAACATAGTTGAAAAAATGTACTTATATGTGTACCTGCACTAAAAATAGTCGGGCACATGGGCTCATATCAGTACATACATGCACTAAACATGGCCATGGCCGGGTACATGTACTCAGATCAGTACATACTACATACACTAAAATTAGTCGGGTCCATGTACTCAGATCATTACATGCAATAAGCATTGAAGTACATGTACTTCTCTAATTAGTAAATATTACTCAAACTAAACCAGTTTAGCTAATGCATTGATGTTTGTTAGAACAGGGTGTCCCATAGTCCACCAAAAATGGGTTAAAGCAGTCTTTCATCGTTGACACGTTGTGATTAAAAGGTCTCAAGCTCTCAAGCAAAAATCGATTATGATTTTTGCCAATTACTTCCTAAAAACTGAAGCTAATAATTTATAATTCTACTATTGTGCTTTATATTGCTAAAATGTACATGTAAAGCCCAAGGCGTTGCGACACTTCAAAGTCGACCCTGTCTTAAAAATTGATGAGACCTTATACAAGCAGACTAAATTTATGTGGATATCTATCTAATTACAAAATGTGTATAAAGCTCCTTTTTTGATTCATAATTTGTCAATAAATAACTGTAAAATACCAAATAGTGTTTAAATTTTAATGTTTCTGAGACAGTCTGTACTTTAAATACTGAAGAAGCAACAGAAAAATTAATATTAAACAAAATAATTGTTTTAATACTTATGCATAAATTAAGAACTAGAGGAGCTACGAGGTCACGAAGTAGCCCTTGAAAAAGTCGCATTTTGACCTTCTCACTCTGTCTTGTTTGCAGTGATTATACGTCTATAATTCCCTCGCACAGTAGGATATTGAGTATTCTTTTTATCAAATAAACCAAACGTATTTAATATTTTTTGTTAATATTTGCTTAGAAATATTTCCCAATACTGTGATGATATTTCCAAATATTTGTCTTAATAAAAACATAAAAATTTGTTTTTTATGTTTAGCATAAAATCTGCAAAATGCTTTTAAACTTAGATCATTTGAAAAATCCAAGGTCTACGCAATCCATGATTTATGGTTCCAGAAGATTAAATTTATTGTAAAAACCTCTAAATCCAAGATGTAAAATGAAGATATTAACCTTATATTTGTTTTTGAAAAAATTAGCTGACATTGTTTTTCCATGGAGTAAGCTAGCCCTGGCTTTGTTGTATACTGCTGACTATTTGTTTCATTCTTTCCTCGATATCTACAACAGAAAAATAACTAACAATGGGATCAATAAAAGTGTAGAATAGAAAGACGTCATTTTTACCATTTTATGTGTTTTTGATATCGCCATAAAACATGTAGTTTTAGACGTTAAAAATCAACATATGAAGTGAACTGTGAGATACATGGATCTTTGTGAAGTGTTTTACACTGCACAATTAAAGATTGCATTTCTTCAGCCTAGGATACCAAAAGCTCTGCTAAAAAGCTCTCTGTACTATTTGCAATGGACGCTGAGAAAGGTGTATGCAAATATAGAGGGAGGGAAGGCCAAGCAGCCCTGAACCCTGTGCTCAATTAGCTAGCCTCCTTCTTAACTACAGTAGCCACGGCCGGGGTACTAAGTGATTTTAACGAAACATTCCTAATACGCCACTCCTACAAACCCTTATCCTCATCTCCAACTCTCCTCTACATGCCATCTAACCTTCTCACAAGCAGCAAAATGAGACTCGGGGACATTTCTCAGTTGGATCCTACATCAAAATTACCTCTGAGCGGATCACTTGATTATCCTACGTTGAATAGCAACCCTCCTCGTACAGGAAAGTAAAAATGTACAGTTCATAGCAAGGAAGCTATTGCTTCCTCTCTGGAAATAGAAACTAACTTGAAGTGCTAGAAGTGATGATCTAAGACCTTGCCAATGCAAGTATAGTTCAGCGCTAGCTGAGGCTTCAATTACAAGTAGGGTTGGTAACGTTTTGATTTTTGAAAAAAACGATCGTTTCGTTAAGAAAACGTCGAGGAAAATCGAAAAACGAAACGATCGTTTTTAAAAACGATCGTTTTTTTTCGTTTTCTAACAGTTCAAAACGAGTGGGTTGTTTTAAAAACGATCGTTTTTTTGAGAAAACGAAACGATCGTTTTTAAAAATGATCGTTTAACGAAGCAAAAAACGATCGTTAAACGATCGTTTTCAAAAACGATTACCAACCCTAATTACAAGTAAGCAAAAACAAAAGAGATGGGTACATCTATAAAATGAAAGGGTAATCCTGCACTTACAAGGGTGCAAAGATATCAACTCGTAAACATGCTATTAAAAGCAAGCGCGATAAATGGACGGGCAAAGGAAGGAAAGAAAAATAGAAACTGCGGACGTGCAGACGGAGAAAGGAGAAAAAAGATGAACATTTGAAATTGTTAACTATGCCGCGTACCATTTTATTTGTTTAAAATTATAAAAACATTGTTAAAAAGGGATTGAGATCGTTTGGTTAAAGAACAATATTTTTCTTGAACGATTGTGTCGTTCATAGAAAAAACGATCAATGGACGAACGATAACTAAAAAACCGAACGATGTTTTACTGAACAAATGATCTTACTGGACGATCGCTCAGTGAGAAGACGAACAAAATATATGGAAAAATTAACGTTAATTTTGAGAACAAAAGAAATATAACAATTAAAAATGATAAACGGATGAAATAAAAAAAGCCGAAGGGGTCCATCCCTATTTTATTCTATTAACTGTTCTGTTTGTTTACCTGATGATTGGTCCAACATTTGGGATTTGAAAAGAGTTTAAAGAAGAATGCGTTTTTAAACATGTCGTCTTCTTTCCTAATAGAAGCCGTCTCAGGTTGTTTCTAGATTCAACTGACCATCTGAAATATTTTTAAAAAGTAAAAAAATATATTTTTTGTTAAAGATTGTGGCATTTCTATTGGAAATGTTCAGAAATAGTAAAATTACTATTTAGGGTTATGATGGATATCAATCCAAAAAATCTCTAAATCATGAAACTTAACACTATCAACAAACTAAAAATTTGTATCTCTAAATCTTTACAACCTGATTTTGTAAATCTTTAATATTTAAAAATTTGAATATTTGATTCAACAGAATTTTAGTTCAAAATATCTAAGGTTGTAAAGCCAAATGATTATGAAATTTGAAATTTTGACTTTTGTCAGTTTCCTTGAAAAAATTCAACTTTACTTGATAAAAATATACACTAATGAAAATAAAATAAGTTTAAATTCACCTTGGTGAGGTAGTTGAATCGTGTAGCATTGGAGACATAACGGTTCCACCAATATGCTTAACATTTTAGACTATAATCAAGGCGCCACCTCGCCCCCCCCCCAAAAAAAAAAAGTAAAAATGGGAAGAAGAAAATCCAGTAAAACATCTATTCAGAAACACTAAAATTTGTTTTTATGCACAAGATAAAATTTGGGACATAAACTCAAAAGTATGTTATAAGGATTGTATTTCCATGTTTTTAATCAGAAAGACAAGAATGTATATCTATAGTGACTCCCCTGCCATCCTCCATATTTAGAATTTAAAATGATTTAATCTACCTTATCATGATTTAGTCCTAAGACATGTCCTATTTCATGTGCAATTGTATGTGTCAGGACAAGACCGGTGTCCTAGTATACACAAATATTTAGTTCATACACAAACACTTTAATTTAACAAGTAGGGATGGGCAAAAGCAAAATTAGTTTTACAGAAACTTTAAATGTGTTTAGACTTTTAAAAGATTTTTCGACCTATCAAGCATGCAAATTTGTTACCCTAGAAGAAAATATAAGGCAAAAACGATACTTTTAAAACAATCGGTTTTAGGTTTTTTAAAACGAAAGTTTTTGGTTCGTTCTTACCTTATATTTTCACCTAGGATAACAAATTTGAATCCTTGATAAAAGCAAACTTCTACAGAATACAATTTTAAATCGTTGGGCCCTTCTCAGATTGTCGTAAAAAGTTTTAAAAGTCTAAAAATATAAAAAGAAATCTGTAAAACGAATCTAGCTAATGCCCATCGCTTCCTAAAAAAAAGGCTGGGCTGGGGGGTCTGATTTAATAAATAGACCTTAGAGCAAAAACCTAAAGGCATGCATGGAGTTGAAATACATAACCATATTTTTAAACCGACCGGCCTTTTTACGTGCACTGTAAGTCCTGTACCAAACCAAATATACATTCTAGTTATTTAAGGTTAAATAACTTTTTTCATAATACTGTTTTTTTATGAAAAAAGTCTGAAACTTTAAAAGTTTTGCATTGAAACACATATTTCTAAATTCTAATAATAAGATGCAAAAATGTTACTTTTTATTTCTTTTTCTGTGAGAACAATCCATCATAAAATGAACTAAATGCTGGGTTATCTCTGTCGGCTTAGTTATTTTTTTTGACAATAATTTAGTAAGAACAAGTGTCGGTCGAGTCAGATTCTAAAACTGATTTATCCCTTTCACATTTCTAGAATCCTTAATTCATTTAAATTTTCCTATTTGCACTACTGTACAGCTAAACTCTGTATCCTACATGTGAAACTGTACAGCTAGACTGTGTATCCTACCTGCACCACTGTACAGTTAGACTGTGTATCCTTCTTGCACCACTGTAGAGCTAAACTGTATATTCGACCTGCACCACTGTACAGGTAAACTGTGTATCCTACCTGCACCACTGTACAGTTAGACTGTGTAACCTACCTATGCCACTGTACAGCTAGACTGTGTACCCTACCTGCACCACTGTACAGATAGCCTGTGTATCCTACCTGTGCCACTGTACAGCTAAACTCTGTATCCTACCTTCACCACTGTACAACTAAACTCTGCATCCTACCTGTGCAACTGTACAGCTAGACTGTGTATCCTACCTGTGCAACTGTACAGCTAGACTGTGTATCCTACCTGCACCACTGTACAGCTAGACTGTGTATCCTACCTGCACCACTGTACAGTTAGACTGTGTATCCTACCTGTGCCACTGTACAACTAAATTGTGTATCTTACCTGCACCACTGTACAGCTAGACTGTCTATCCTACCTGTGCCAATGTACAGCTAGAGCGAGTATCCTCCCTGTGCCAATGTTCAGCTAGACTGTATATCCTGCCTGTGCCACTGTACAGCTAGGCTGTATATTCTACCTGTGCCAATGTACAGCTAGACTGTGTATCCTACCTGTGCCACTGTACAGCTAGACTGTGTATCCTACCTGTGCCACTGTGCAACTAAATTGTGTATCTTACCTGCACCACTGTACAGCTAGACTGTCTATCCTACCTGTGCCAATGTCCAGCTAGAGCGAGTATCCTCCCTGTGCCACTGTTCAGCTAGACTGTATATCCTGTGTGTGCCACTGTATAGCTAGACTGTGTATCCTACCTGCAGTACTGTATAGCTAGACTGTGTATCCTACCTGTGCCACTGTACAGCTAGACTGTGTATCCTACCTGTGTCACTGTACAGCTAGACTGTGTATCCTACCTGTGCCACTGTACAGCTTGACTTTGTATCCTACCTGTGCCACTGTACAGCTAGACTGTGTACAGACAGTTCCACGTCGAGCCAATCCCAGGGTATTACAAACCTCACTTTAAACCAATATTATGTTATAGAATGATAGAATGTAAGCATAAAAAGATAGAAGGAAAGAAGGGTAGAAAGATAGATGGATAGAAAAATAGAAGGATAAAGAGATAGAAGGATAGAAAGATAGAAGAAAAGAAAGACAAAAAGATAGAAGGATAGAAGAATAAAAAGATAGAAGGATAGAAGGATAGAAGGATAGAAAGAAAGAAGGAAAGAAAGGCAGAAAGATAGAAAGGATAGAAGGAAAGTATCAAATTGGTGGAAGGAATTTGTAGTTAAGTTATATTTATTTTTTCGCGAAAAATTAGTTGTACATAATTGTATCGTCTTTTGACATAAAATTTTTTTTTACAAAAACTTCGCAGAGAGGGTGATTATTTTACTTAATTGTCCCAAGGAACATAAAGTAACTTAACATCCCTCTTTTGAGGGAATCATAGGTCGTTAATGTTCGAATCATAGGTCGGTAATGTTCGAATCATAGGTCGGAAATGTTCGAATTAATGTAAAAACTTTTAAAAAATGAAATCATTCTTTCCCAAATTTATAAATCTAATTTATGTTGGAAAATAAAACGGATTATAAAGGATAATTTTAATTTTTTATTAAAATTTGGATTAAAAGAAGATTAGGCTATTATAGAAAAAAATTAATCTGATTACCTATTAGAGTTAATCCCAGATCTGAAAACAAAAATTTGTCAAGAGACTGTGTAATCTGCTCTAGGGTTTAAATTCGCAATTTGCGCAATAATGGAGCACAGTTTCTCTGTTGCTATAGATATCAGAAGATTTATGCAAATTTAGTGCATCATTGCGCTAACATTTACCGTATTCATAGCAATAGAGGCACATTTTTTCAAATGCTAGATTTTTGATAATTATCATAAAAAAAATTATTTTTAACAAAATTTGGTCGAACTCGCCAAAATTGAATAAAAAGTTTTGTCTAACAATTCCCTAAAGCTTAGTCGAAGGAAAAATGTTTCTCATTACTATTTTTATATCTGAACATTGATTTTTATATCTGATCATTGATTTTTATATCTGAACATTGATTTTTATATCTGAACATTGATTTGTATATCTGAGCATTGATTTTTATACCTGAGCATTGATTTTTAAACCTGAACATTGATTTTTATATCTGAACATTAATTTTTATATCTGAACATTGATTTTATATCTGAACATTGATTTTTATATCTGAACATTGATTTTTATATCTGAACATTGATTTTTATATCTGAACATTGATTTTTATACCTGAGCATTGATTTTTATATCTCAACATTGATTTTTATATCTGAGCATTGATTTTTATATCTGAACATTTATTTTTACATTCGAACATTGATATTTATATCTGAACATTGATTTTTATATCTGAACATTGATTTTTATATCTGAACATTGATTTTTATATCTGAACATTGATTCTTATGTCTGAACATCAATTTTTATATCTGAACATTGATTTTTATATCTGAACAATTATTTTTATATTGGAACATTGATTTTTATATCTGAACATTGATTTTTATATTGTGCTTCTCTATAATAGCAAAATGTATATTTTTTATTTACGCATAAGAGAAAATGCTTGTGTCCCGTTGTGGCATTCAGAGCCTGAGAAATAGTTTGTTTGACAGCTACGCTTATGTCCAATCTGCTATTTATAATTATTTTATGTACGCTTATTTAAACCAGGCTGGATTAGTTCTATCTTTTTTATTTTTTTTATTTGATTTGATATGTATAAAATTGTATTGCCTCACTTAAAAATGAAGAAAATTGTGCGTAAAATTTAAATCTTAAACGTTTTCATTTTTAACCAGAACTCCTCTGATTAAAGAGCTGATGAAGCCAGATAAACTTTCTTTTCTCTTACTTGGGCGTCAGGTAAAAACTAGAGAAGCTATTAGGTCAAAAAGTCATACCTGTGGCACAATTGAGTTCTAGTGATGAGAATATGAACATCTGCTGATTCGGTCGGCAATCTTTCTCTCACCCACCTTTTGATATATACAGGGTGATGTTTTAATTCTGTAATTTTTTAAAAGCTTATACCTCAGCCATTTAAAAAAATCTTTTTGATTTAGAAAAATTTCTTGGTAACTCATTTAAGGACGTTTCTGAATCTGTAAGTAAAATCCGGGAAATAATAACATGTATATTTTCAATTTTATATTTTCTTTCACATCGTACTTTTACCAAAAATCATATTTCCTGGAGGGGCGAACAGGAGATAATGCTCTAATCCTTCCTACATTTGTATACCAACTAGGCTTGGTAATAGAGAGAAAATCTAATTCGTTAATTAATTCTAACTCTTTCGTTACCGAGCGTTAACGGAAGAGAGGAGGAGAGAGAAATCCGCACTAAATGGCATCGGTACTTATCATTGAGCAGTTTTAAAGAAAATATCAAGCAATTTTAGATCCCTCACAACTTGTTACTTTCATAAAAGACGACATTCGATAAAGTTGCATGTAATTGTTTTGAAATTCTTTTTTATAAAGTTCGAAGTTTCGTTACCGTTCTATAACGATAACCCTTCGTTAACGATCGTTTACGACAACCCTTCGTGAACAATCGTTAAATTTTTTCTAAAAACGATAATTTTTTTAACAATCGTATAAAACAATATCGCTGATCGTTTATATCCATAATGATTTAACCTGTGCTGTACCAGAATCATAAATTACAGAATTAAAAAAACACCCTGTAAATAAGTTAGAGGAGCTGTAAGCGTAATTTCATGTGATCCTACATTTAAAGAGTGAAATATCCGATTAAGAACAATTAGTGTTGTGAATCATTTTGGCTCATTGTTGAATATTTTTTTTTTCAAACTAAATTTGGCAAAGTATAGAAATGCAAATGCTTTATAAATTGTTAATTTGTAATGCATAAAATACACTATGTAAAATTTTAACCCTGACAGAAAAAAAAAATGCAAAAAACTAACCGAAAACGTTCAAAAAACGTAATTTTTATTTTAAATGATAAAATTAACAAGCGAGTTGAAACGATCGTTTCGGGATCAAAAACAACATTTAATAGAATATTGTTTTGAAAGTTTAAAAAGAAAAGAACGAATCAAAACGACTAATTAAATTCTTTTTCATGATATAAAAGTATGAATTATAAATCCTTTTATTCATTGAAACATCATGAAAGGGTAATTCTCTTTGAAGTTAACATAAACGTAAATTGAAGTGACCCTCATTGGGTATAGAGTGGTATGTTATTTCCAAATTATAGCGGTAACCTTAAAAGCTTTGTTTGGTCAAATTATGGTAACATAAAATTACGAAGCCCGTTTATTTAACCCTATCCAGGTTTTAAGAAGAATTTGCACTCCCTCCTTTTTTTAAATTTAGAAATAGCCCAACACACGGGGTCGGGTCTTAAGAGCCTTTAATATTCTAGTTAATTTAAAATCAAAAATATATATTTGTCTCTAACATATTATTAGGACATATACATTATTAATATACTGTGGAAGACGAGACCCAGCGTATCCGGGAACGAGCTTAAGAATCCTACGGAGCATTCTAGATCTTTCTATGTGATTCTAGAACCTAGGGTAGTGATATATATATACGAGTTGATTCTTCTGTTATTAGTATCTTAAATATATTCTGAAGAGAAACTCCTCACGTTGTTTTGGATCCGACTCGACGTCTTCCATAATACATAATTAAAACATATGTAATATGTATGTTGCTTAAAGGGGGGGGGGCTTTGAGAGTCACATTTAACGAGCATCAATTCTTTATATTTCAATTAATTATTCGTTAATTATTGATGCTGATGTCTCCCATTGCACTTTAGAGCAGAAAATGACCATAATATCCTTTGATTAGATACAATCCAAGTTTTCAATGCGACTGTTTCCAACCGTCAAGAGAATACTTTTATTTCCTTGACATCCACTTTAATTATTAAAAGAAATGTTTTTATTACCAGCAAAAGTTGTGCAATGTACTTTCTGCATTCGAATTCACGTAAAGCCTGAAAAAAGAGTGAATATTACTGTTTTTTCTACTTCATATACATATACAGTAGGGGCAATGATCATATTCTGAAAAGTCATAATTTTATTCAAGCTTTTTTAATGATACCCTTCATTGAAGATAATAAAAGATGATAAAAAATGTGATCAAACTGTTAGACAGCCTCGATATGTAAGCATTGGAACGGTTTGGGTTTGGTTTTACCTCAACACGTCACTAATATTTTTTTGCAGCCTTAGCTATATATTCTTAAACTGCAACGTGTTTTTTTTCTAGCTCAAGTTTAATCAAGGGTAGTTGAGAAACAACTGCTTAGAACTTAGACATAACAAATTATCAATCCCTTTTTAAAATGATTATTATTCGACACAAAGTGGAAAATAAAGTAGTTGTATTTTTAAATACAAATGAGATAATAAAGTTCGGGTCCTATGATACTATCCAGAAGATCTGGTTACCCAACACTAAAGTAAAATCAAAGTAAAATTCAAATCTTATTTAATCATAACTATACTCTTATTTAAGAGCTACCGAGAGAAACTTGTTTTGTATTTATAATATGTAACAAAGTAAATTATACTATAAAACTATACTATTATAGAGCTACCGCTAGAGAAACTTGTTTTGTATTTATAATATGTAACAAAGTTAATTAGCTTTTTTTAAACTTGTGTGTTAATTCAAAGTTAGTTTGAATTTTTTAAGTTAAATGAAGGAGTTTAAAAGTATAGTTTAATTTGTTAAGTTAAATGAAGGAGTATAGGAGTATAGTTTAATTTTTCCGAATTTTTATTATTTTGTTCTCTTACCTTTCCTCTTCGTTATTTTCGACAGCAATTATATTTTTTATTTCAATATTCAGTCTTCTTCCAATGCTGGGATCACTTGTTTATAAACAAAACTTTTTTATATTCATAAAAAAATATATTTCTATGCTAAACAATAAATCGTTTTACTCTTTTAGACGAAATGTTAGTATACGAAAATGTAGATAACAAAATTTTACTGATCCTTCTGTAAATTCAAATCTTAAAATTCATATGTTATAATTCTATAATTAAAGGAATTGAGTCTTTGCCACAAATTCTGCTTTTCTAAACCGTATATCTTTGGATTTCAATGTCGTAGACCTTGGATTTTTCAAACTATAAATTATGTTAGATCAAATTATATGAGTTTGAAATATCAAAGATGTATACGACATTGGGTTCCAAAGATATAGGGATTATAAATTCAGAGTTTGTGGCAAAGACTCAATTCCTTTGCGGCAACGATTTAACGGAATTCTTTACTTACATCGAAACAAAGGGGACCAAACTACCTGAAATTTTGACTGGGGAACTCATTCCTTATTATTACGCGCCTGGTCTAAAAACTTTGCCAAAAACTATTTGTCTGATCCTTTTATCTGTCCAATTTTATATAAAAGGATTAAAAAGAGATTAGAAAATTTCAGTTTGCTGCAGGAGTTGATATAATTTTTCCAGGTAAAGCTGGGTATCTTTTAAATAATTGCCTGGGTAAATCATCAAACAATATAATGTTTTCTGAGCTCCCAGTTTCATCAAAAAATGTTTTTTGTCGATTTCTGACTTTTTCTCTGTATACTTTTTAAGTTTACATTGGTTGCAGGATGTTGGATGGTTAGCATCCAATAAACATCAAAAAGGCTGAACCTGGAACAAAACGTTTAGTGTAGACCCATCTGCCCGGTCAAAATTGCAAACGTTATCCCAAAGAATTTTTTATTTTGAATACAAACAAATCTGTAATATCTTGCATTTAAATGGGTTTCTGATGTACTATCTTGGAAACCAAGCTTTGTCTGGAGTTTTCCATTTACAAATGTCAACCCACTCATCTTACTATCGGACATAAACAATCCTTAGTTGTTCTCAAATCAAAATTTGATACAAATCGGTCACGGGGTCATGTTAGGAAATCCGACAGACAACAAACATTACTACTTTATATACATCTATAGATGACAGAAAATGGCAGCTGTAAAATTGAAACATTTTAAAAGTAAAATTATTACCAAAAAATTCTATTAAATTTATATTATCATAAAGGAATTTAATCTTTGTCACAAATTCTGATTTTCTAATACCTACATCTTTACACCCTAATTGTAGTAGACCTTAGATATTTCAAACTATGAATTCTCTTAGATTAAATAATCTAAGATTGAAATATCAAATAGACTGCAAACACCAGGATGCAAAGATATTAGGATTATAAAATCAAAGTTTGTGGCAAAGACTCAATTCCTTTGGTATTAAAAATGCAAAAAATTTTTCATGAAAGAATTTTAAAAAAGGTTTCCCTGTAAATATTTTCTACGCCATTGAGAATAGTGTTGATGTAAATATCAAGGATTTCAATCTGAAAAAGAAAAAAATTATTTTACCAAAATTATGGGATTTAACTCTCTTCCCAATTTTATTTTGATTTTAGTGATTTGATTTTTAAGTTATGTAATTTTTCATTTTTTGCGTAGCTTTTTATTGCATTTTTTTATACTTTTTAAGCTGGATGTTGATAAAAATCTACTTTAAGTAGAAAAAAAGATTTACTACTTTTTTATAGAAAAAAGGGTTTTAATAATCTGGAATGGAAATCCGTTAGTTTTTGATTAAATTTTATACACAGAAAACATTAAAGTTTATTTATAGAGCCGTGATATTTTGTAAACAGGAAAATGTGTTTTCATGGCAATAAAATTAGGAATCAGATTCAGGTTTAGGTTAGGGATCCGCCAAGCTCTTTCTTTGTAACCCATGCTTGTCAAGTTATCTAAGTATAACGATTTAGTTTGACCGCCTTATGGTCACAAATATAAACACCCAATTTCAATGCTCTGCATCTGTTTGCATGTCAGATCATAACTCATAAACCCCCAAACCTTTTTGCATCAAATTTTAATTGGGAACCCGGTAGAACAACGAAAATGTTCAGGTCTAAGTTGAGTGGGTTATATTTATAGAAAAAAACTCTGCGTCTAGGCAAAGCTGGGTTTCAAAGCAGTGATTAATATTTAAGGTTGAAAAACAGTTGGGTTTCTACCGCTGTAAGGTATTTTTCCAAAGGAACTTTCCCAAAAACCACTTTCCAAGTGACGGTTTCCCAAGTGGTAACTTCCAAAATGTGCAATTTCACAAAAAATTAGGTCAGTCCTTCTGGGTTGCGGCTTTGGAAATTGCACATTTGAAATGTTGCCATCTGCGGCTAGGACTGATATAAGAAGCTGCCGCTTTGGAAATTGCACATTTGAGAAGTTGCCAGTTGCCATTTGGGAAGATACTCTTGGGAAGTTGCCGCTTGGGAAAATGTGTTTGGGAAAAATACCTAACATCTGTCTACCTCATGGAATTCAGACATACTCTCATCTAGTACAATATTGAGCTCTATACTCTCATCACCCTAAAAACATCTTTTATAATTCAAGTTGCAATTTACAAATAAAACTTTAAACCATTAAAACTGAGACCGAACTTACAGAATTTGAGCCCGGTCTTGACCTGGCTCAACCACCTACCGCCGGTTTAAATTTAAACCACCGATTCAAATCCTTCCTTAATCATCAACTTTGCATCGGTGCTTCAAACTTAAACCGGCAGTAAGTAGTTCAGCGACGCATCTCAAATTTCTTAAATTAGATCTCTCTGATCTCTGATCAACTTTATTTTTTTACTTCTGCCTTGTTTCAAAGCTTATTTGATCTTTAGAAATAGCCATTGAAATAAGACAAGTAAACAAAAGTTAAAAAATTTACCCATACCACTATTATTTTGGCACGACGACGTGCTATAAAGTTGTTGGACTAAAATTTTCTTTATATCTCAAAGGTTCTCGCCTTTTTATATGTATTTGCATAACTCTCCGAACCAAAATGACAGTGCTATAAATAGTTATTAAAGATTGGAATGTGAGATTTACTCACACAGGTCTGCTGCTTTAGTAATTGTATATTGGTGGTACAGTCCAAACTAGGGCCGCAAAGGTTGGCCCAGATCGGATATTTATATGTACACCAATACGTTGTGCGTGTACTCTTTAAACCTATAACCCTATAGAGGCTGCGAGGTCTGAATCTATATAGAGCTTGCCCCCCCCCCCCCTAGAAAAAGGCCTTAAAGAATAGGTATAGTGTTGGAATGCATGGTCATAGCACAATTTTTCATGGCCAGCTCAAAGAAAAAAAATTAGACCGATAGCTTTGATAGTTTGGGTGCGAGGGAGGGTGGAAAAAAATTCTTAAAAAAAGGTTAAAAAATGAATTTTTTTTTGTAAACAAATATTAAAATGTGACACATGTTTCTACATGCATTTTTCAAGGGCTTTATAAAATATAGTTTTTAGATCTGTAGCTTTAGTCAAAATATGGTTATGGGCTATTTTAGCTTTTTTTTCACTGACCGGACTTCCTACCCTATAAATTAAAAAAAATATTTTTTTAACAAAAAAATCCTATAAATTACTCTTCATTAAAAGTCACAAAATTTCACGGTGATAGTGTTAAAATGAGAGTGTTAGGACAAAAAAACTACAGGGGGCGCCAAACGCCCCCCCCCCCCCAGCCTGTTTAGGGTTAAGTGAGCAACAATGAGGAAGACATCTTTGTTTCTCTGTCTTTAAAATTGTTAAATTCGGACAATTATGAATCTGCCAAATCACAATTAAATATTCAAGGTCGGATGAAAATACAATTGATTTTCCAATGTTGACACCTGTAATTAAAGTTATTAATTGGAGTCCGTGCTATAAAGAATGCTATCCAATCTTCTTTTCTAAACTATAAGTTTATAATATACTTTCGGCTTATAACATTATGAAGCTAAAATACCAAATCTGGGTTACTTACAAGATTAGCTGAAAGTTGAGACAAGCAGAGCAAGGAAAAGGTAAGAAACATTTTATTCTGAAAAGATGAAAAGAAATATTTTCTTGAATAGAAAAATATTTCTTTATGAAATTATTACATTTCATTGTTGTATTAGGAGGTTTTACGATCAAATTATCCTTTAACACTCAACTTAAACTTTAATTTTCTTATATATCTATATAAACAGGGAGTCCTTTTAATCTTGCCAATTTTCACATTGCTGTAACTTTGTTATTATTTGGAATTTTGAGTAATCAAAATATGAACGTTTTGTTGTATACAATGAAAATTCACAATTCTAATACTCAAAAATGCGCAAATTAACTTATTGCATTTGAGCCATATTCCAAGAAGAAGCCAAGATTAGGACTGTTCATAACTATTCTTCTGATAAAGGATTAACACAACTTCGCAGGAATCAGTATTACATTGTTAATTTTACCATCACTAACAAGAAGTTTGTTCCTGTTGTTCAAGAGAGGGATTGTTAAGAACTTTGCCAAGGGAATCTAACGAGAAACTCTGCTGAGGGCTGCTGATAATTAATTATGTATTCAAGAGGAAGACATGGCCATTTTGAATATTTGTTAAAGGAAAAGAAGTGAACCAATTGATTTAACAAAACGTTCATATTTGTAGATCAAAAATGTGACTGAATAAATGTAACCAGATCTATATTTCTGTTCATTATTAAGGTTTTTAAGTTGGCACACTTAAAAGGACCACCCTGTATAACAAAGCTCTTCGCTCACATATATATATGTTAGCTATAGCTGAGCTGGGAACTGTTGAATGATGGTGGATATCGGGATTAATGCTTAATCTCCTCTTTTTCTTAATTTCCAGATTAAATAATGTTTGTACTTCCCTTGTTATTAATATCCAGATTAATTAACCGATCGGGATTAAGAATATCCCATTCTAAAGTTTCCAGCTCTGGCCAAACGACTGCACTGTGCTGAATTTAACATTTTTTGAGGGAACCCATGGGTACCTGGGGAAAGCTTAAGCTAAAAAATATATTTTTAAAGCCGTTTTAAGATTTATGGATTCACCGATTATGACATGTTTACAGAACGTTTCTCTGATGGATTTCAGTTTAGTAGGTCAACTCCTATTCAAAATCCAATTGAAAAGTTTCCAGCTTAGATTGTAAAGACTAGACATAGGGATTAGAAAATTAAAGTTTTAGAAAAGATCAGTAATTAGAATCTTGACTGTTGTAAAGAAAATAAAAAATCATTTCGGGTACATTTTATAATTGGGATGACTTGACTTAATGCTTTTGAACTCTGCAATGAATCTTTAGATGAAAACTTTTTAAGAGAACTGATTGGATATCATTTAAAAGTTGTAATGTTTTACTTACCCAAGTTATATATATATGATATTTTATAGAAAGTAGTAATTTCTGTTTTGGTGTCTGCTAGCATGACCATTTATAACTCATAAATCCTTTAACCAATTTCCCTCAAATTTTGATACGGACACTCGGTAGAACCACGGAAATGTTTTTATCTTGGTTTTAACATTCTAATTGAATAGATCTTTCTAGGTTTTACAGGTTCGTTTTTTGGAAAGTACTAATTTAAAGATTTATGTCCTTAATAATGGAAAGTCAATTCTTTTCTGTATCTCTAAAATGTAGTATGTAAACCTTTAAAAAGCTTTACAAACTTAAAACTTTTCATTATATAATCAAACCTTCTAGTCTTTAGTATGGTTAAGCCTTGGTTAATAGTTATTCCTATAATATTTTCTTAAAATTGAAATTTTTATGCTCGCTTTCATTTTTTTTCATAGATATTGAAAACTGTATTTTTTGTTCAGTAGTTCTGAAATGTATATGCTGCAGGTACTACCTTAAAAAGTTGCTATCTTGAACCTAACTGATGCCATGAAGGTTCCCTTAGTTCATAAAGGTTCGTTTTCTTTAATACTTGGGGCTTTTAACTTCTCTATAAATTTTGTTTTTGACCTTATTCAGTTTTTTTTCTGAAAGTTCAATGTTCTATAATAATGAGAAGATGTAATTTTTGAAGTGTATGCTATTAATCTTGCTAGTTAACACTGCTGCAATTAAGTTAAGATTCTGTTTAAATTGAGCCCCTTTACCGTTGCAAACTGAGCCCCTTTACCGTTGCAAACTGAGCCCCTTTACCGTTGCAAACTGAGCCCCTTTACCGTTGCAAACTGAGGAGCCCCTTTACCGTTGCAAACTGAGCCCCTTTACCGTTGCAAACTGAGCCCCTTTACCGTTGCAAACTGAGCCCCTTTACCGTTGCAAACTGAGTCATTTTACCGTTGCAAGCGGACCCCCTTTATAGATTCAGACTGAGCCCCTGTGCAGATTCAAGCTGAATCCCTTGGCAGATTTAGGCTGAGCCCCTTTGCAGATGCGAGCTGAGCCCTTCTACAATTTAAGCTTTAAGTTGAGCCCTTTTACTTATGTAAGTTGAGTCCCTTTCTGTATTTTAAATTGAGTCCCTTCACACAGTTCAAGTTGATCCCCTTTATGGTTCAAGATGAGCCCCTTTATGCGGTTCAAATTGAGCCCCTTTATGCAGTTCAAATTAAGCCCCTTTATGCGGTTCAAGGTGAGCCCCTTTATGCAGTTCAAGTTGAGCCTCTTTATGCAGTTCAAGTTGAGCCCCTTAATGCAGTTCAAGTTAAGCCCCTTTATGCAGCTCAAGTCGAACCCATTTACAGTTTCAAGTCGAGCCCCTTTACAGTTTCAAGTTGAGCCCCTTTACAGTTTCAAGTCGAGCCCCTTTACAGTTTCAAGTTGAGCCCCTTTTCAGTTTCAAGTTAAGCCCCTTTACAGTTTGAAGTTGAGCCCCTTTTCAGTTTCAAGTTAAGCCCCTTTACAGTTTGAAGTTGAGCCCCTTTACAGTTTGAAGTTGAGCCCCTTTACAGTTTCAAGTTAAGCCCCTTTACAGTTTGAAGTTGAGCCCCTTTACAGTTTCAAGTGTAGCCACTTTACAGTTTCAAGTTGAGCCCCTTTAAAGTTTTAAGTGTACTGACAACAGAAATGAATGCTTATAAAATTCCGTATTACTTTTTTAAAAAAATGATTTTATGAAAATGATATCTACAGTTTGATTTTTACATGAAAATGACATATACTGAATAGTTTAGATATAGATCACAGTACAAACAGTATTTATTGCAATGTAGAACAGTAGAGATGAAAAACTAAGCTAAAACTGAATATTAAATTCAAGCATATGTATTGTGCAGTGTTGTGTGTATCTATTAGTTTAATTAAAAACAAATTTGCATTCGACATTGACTTATATTTGAATACACAATGCTTGAAATAAAACTTAATAGAAATGATGTACTGTTTCTAGGCATTGGTTTAGTTAACGTAAGATTAGATATATAAATCTGAAAGGTATTGGATAAAAATTCTAAATACAATAACACATACCTTGTCCAAATAATTATACCAATTAATCGTAACATTATATATCCATGGTAACATTCTTTCAAAAGCAGCACTATAAATGGACGGGCAAACGGAGGCAAGAAAAAGAGAAACTGCGGACATGCAGGTGTGGAAAGGAGAAAAAAGATGAACATTTGCAATTATTAACTATGCCTCGTACCATCTTATTTTATAAAAATTATAAAAAATAAATTATAAAACATTGGTAAAAAATACCAATGAATAGTCTTAAAAATAAATAAATCAGATTTGATTTATGATAAATGTGGACGGTCATTTTTTACCTTAACTTTCAAGATAACAAAAAGTATAATTAGAATAATAAGAAAGGAGATATATTTAAATTCAAATGAACATACAAAAATGAAATATCTTTGTGTACATTCCCTGTATTCGTTTTATTCCCTGTATTACCTGTAACCCTTTTTTCCTCGTATCCTTCATTATCTGTAATCCCTGTATTCGCTTTATTCCCTGTATTACACCGTTATTCCCTGTATTCCATGTAGTCCCTGTATCCCCTGTCTTTATGCCCTATATTCCCTGTACTCCCTGAACTCCCTGTATTTCTGTATGTCCTGTATTCCTTTTATTCCCTGCATAGCCTGTGTTACATGTATTCCACGTGATCCTTACAGAATTCCCAACCGTTGTAAGTTGCGTACATACATCCTCACATACCTTTTAACATTTCATGAATCTTGTTACTATTTAGAAGCATACTATTTTAAATTTTACTTAACAGTGAACAGTGAGCTGTATGAGCTAGTTAGATAGATAGATGGAAAGATAGATAGATAGATATTCCTGTAGGTATACCTATATATTCAACCTGGTATTCAGTAGTTAGTGAGTAGCTTCAGCAGTAGGACGTTTCACCCAACCTCTCTGTATAATTATTACTCAGCTTTCCAAAGCTGGACATTTTTGAATTGACAAGACTAGTATAAATCGGTTTAAATGAGTTAAACTCATCTCTCATTAATTAAGCCCATAAGTTCTTAACATTTAGTTATTCTTTTAGCGCCCGTTCTTTCTACGAAAAATTTTACTGTTTAGTGCCATTCATCAATAGTAAATATCATTGGTCGAACATATTCCTAAAATATAAAATGCTGCATTTGACCTTTTCAACGTATAATGTGAAAATTATCTCATATAATAAGAGCAAAAAATATGAAGAAAAGAAAAACACTTTGTGTTAAACAATTTAAACGAATAAGTTTTTCCTAAAATATTTTTTATTACTGATATCATAAATATACTTTTAACTTTAATAATTTATTTTGATTATTTTTTACAATATTTCTTAATATTTATATATCAGATAAAAATATTTTGAGATTTGTATTTTTCTTGTTCTTCATTTTCTTCTTGCTCCTACATCTTTCTTTCATTTTCTTCTTGCTCTTCTGTCCTGGAAATAAAAGGATGTCCTGGAATTAGCCACTTTACAAGAAAGAACTATTTTTTTAAAGATCTTGTTTTTTTCGGATAATTTCATAAATATGAATTTTTGATGATTATATCAAAATTAAATTAAAACTTTCATCTCTAAACTAACAATAAACCATTGTGTAT